TACTTTATTCGTTCAATTTTCAAGGGAAGTAACTTTTTAAAAATAATTATTTTTCAAACAATTGTATACTACAGGGGTCGGCAACCTTCTGAAGCGGAAGAGCCAAAAGTTACAATTTTCAAAATTTCCCTGGTTTTAAAGAGCCACTAACATTTTTTTATTTCAAATATTTTTTTTTATTAAGATTATTAGTATTTGTTCAAGGAGCTGGAGAGCCACATCTTGATATCAAAAGAGCCGCATGCGGCTCGCGAGCCGCAGGTTGCCGACCCCTGGTATACTATTTTAAACATAAACAGAAAATGACAAAGTATAGCATTTGTATCAGTAAAAAAATAAGTTGTTAATTAAGGAACGTATCCTAATTTTAAAAGTCAATGTAATATAAATTATGAGATATACTGTTCATGGAACCTCAGTAGTTCTAATTTATTTTTAATCATAGATTGCGAACTTATCATTATTTTCTCTGAAAACGGACTTTAAACAACAAACAACAACAACATTTCTATAAAATCAGCATTACTGTTTAAATTTAAGCACTCCACACCTCAGCCGTCACTAAATAATTAAGTTTTCAAATTCTCAACTGTTATTGAAAACCTAAGCGAAGCTAGACATTATGCCTAGTTTCAAATATATTTGTCCGCACGATATTTATATCCTTGTATTTGCATCTTTAAGCAACAACAAAAGAATTAACCCAAGGGAAACAATTTACAACAAAATCGCTAAATTTATATATGGAAATATATTTCAAATTTTTACTATTGATTATAATATTTTTTATATGTTTTTAAAATAAATTTTAGTTCACATTAGGATAATAAAAGTATTTATTTATTGTGTTTAGTTTAAATATTTAGTTGCAGGTTTAAATAATACTAGAAACACATTAGCTTAATTTCAGGTGTATATTGTTTAGAATCTGTAACTTGTCTTTTAAAACTGTGCTGTGCTTTTGGTTTTTTGGAAAAATTTTGGATCCTTCAACTTAAAGGACAATTAACTAGTAACGTGATTAGGCAGGGAATAGTAAAGAATATAGCAAACATAAAAAATGTACATAAGGCTATTCTTGTTTACGTCCCTGAACGCAAGGATTACCTCCCCGAAAAACACCGAACGCCTCTACAGTCAGTAGTCTCCCGTCCGTGACGTAGTACTGGCATTCTGGTGAGGACATGGTGAGGACACGGCGAGGACTTGGTGAGGACATGGTGAGGACATGGGGAGGACATGGTGAGGATATGGGGAGGACATGGTGAGGATATGGATAGGACATGGTGAGGACATGGTGAGGATATGGTGAGGACATGGCAAGGACATGGGGAGGACATGGTGAGGACATGGGGAGGACATGGTGAGGATATGGGGAGGACATGGGGAGGACATGGGGAGGACATGGTGAGGATATGGATAGGACATGGAAAGGACATGCATAGGACATGAATAGGACATGGTGAGGACATGGCATGGACATGGGGAGGACACGGGGAGGACATGGGAAGGACATGGGAAGGACATGGGGAGGACATGGGAGGACAGATCAATACAATCAAAAATGTTGTCCTTCCTATGTTGTCACGTGATAACCACAATCGTAGTCGCCACATTCAAGTCCCTCTTGACTAGTCCAGAAGTCTGACTCCAGCTGCCGAAGTCCTTTGGTCGAAACACGCCGCCGGCAGGATCAAAGGACTACAACCCCACTCTAGTGTTTTCTAATTAGATCACAATGGCTCTTGTGTCGTGTTTGCAGACGTCATTGACACCTCGAGCAGACAGACCAACTTCCGGTGACGAGAACATAAGATGTCGGCGTCCACTTGATGTCTGAACCTCTGGACAATGCCACGCCCACTACTACGGTCAACCTTGGGTTGTTCGACCATGTTCAAAGCTTAGGATTTACGAAATCTATTTTTAGTTCAAGTTTTACTACAGGATATAAATAAACTACGCCAATGATACAGTCGTACAGGGGCGGCGCTAGGGTGTGACAGGGGGCGGCACAGCTTGGGGCGGTATTTAAAATAAACCTAAAACAATCAAGTTACCAGCCCCATTATATTTGATCCCATAAGTCGCGTCAGCTGTTGTCGCTAAGAGATGTGTTGCTGATCAATTGATCGAATGTCTCTTGTGATCAGTCAAGTTTAATGTGAGGGCAGCGTGGGAGACACTGTGTGGGAGACATTGTGTGGAGAGCCATTGTGTGGGAGCCACGATGTAGGAGCCACTGTGTGGGAGTCACTGTGTGGGAGCCATTGTGTGGGAGAAACTATGTGGGAGCCACTATGTGGGAGCCTCTATGTGGGAGCCATTGTGTGGGAGTCACTATGTGGGAGCCATTGTGTGTGAGCTACTGTGTGGGAGCCTCTATTTTGGAGCCACTGTGTGGGAGACACTGTGTGTGTGTGTGTCGAACCACACAATTTGGGAGGGAGGAAGGGGGTTGGGGGTTGGATGCTGAGAATCTTTAGGGATCATAAAATCCAATAATGAATAGAATAAAAACGTGTTTTCGAAGCATAATTTCCTAGTACTTTGCTATGATAGTGTTTCACGTACCGTTTTTTTCTATAGTTATAGTCCTACATAATACATACAATGGGCACTCTTAAGTATTTTTGAAAGGCCTTTTAAAGCGACTTTATTCAGCCATACATAATTGGTTTCTAAAAATAAATCTGAAACTTTATTTGCTAAAGTCTTATTGACATCTAAAGCAGAAATTGTTGATAGGGTTTGAAAATAATTATCACAGAAGTGACAGATATCCAATCCAAGGGAGCTCAGGTGATGCTGCTGATTTATTTTTTAAATCTTGAGTTAATTCCCTTCAACAACAAAATATTAGTTGTGGAAATAGGTAGTTCGATACTGCTGTGTGTTGGGATAGAGTGTAAGGCCACTAAGGTTGTGTAAGAGAAAAATGGAGAGGGTGGTGTTTGGGTGTGTGTGGGACAGATGTGTGTGGAGACAGATGTGTGTGGGGTAGCCACAAATATTTATTCTGGCGGGTCTGTGACGATGGAAGAATGAAAAACCCAACAAAATCATCATAATTTCTTTAATTATATCATAATGTTTTGAGATTTTATTAATTTACCTGAAACATACAAAAAAAAGCTCTTACTCTTAGAAATCTACACTGGTATATTAAAAAAAACAACTTTAAAGAATGTTTCGCCCGTGGTACTATATATATATATATATATATATATATATATATATACATATATATATATATATATATATATATATATATATATATATATATATATATATATATATATATATATATATATATATAATCATTAGGAAACATTTGTTAGTTTTAAAGAATAAATATTTTAGTTTCTTTAATTATTTATATAATCATAAACAATTTTGAAATATGGATGCAAAGCATTCGTGTCAATTTGAGCAGATAAGTATTGTTTCTGATAGTGCAAAAAAAAATATTTTAATTTATAGAAAAATAAAAAAAAAGGTAAAGAAAGAGGGAGACGAATATGTAAATATGGTGAGGGCAATGAGGAATACAGGTGACGTAATCACATGCAGATGACGCCACTGAATGACGTCAGTACATTACAACATCAATGACGTAGACACAGAGATTATTTTAACACCGAGTGACGTATAAAAATGCAAATATTATAAAAAAGGTCACTCTTTTGTACAAAGTAAACAAAGTATTCAAAAAGAAAACATCCTTGATTTTTCGTACAGAAAAATAGAATGTAACACAGAAAGAAACATATTTGGTAATGATGGGTACATAACACATACAATAACGTGTGACATTATACATACACACACATATTAATATATATATATATATATATATATATATATATATATATATATATATATATATATATATATATATGTATATATATGTATACATATATATATATATATATATATATATATATATATATATATATATATATATATATATATATATATATATATATATATATATATATATATATATATATATATATATATATATATATATATATATACGTATATAATAGACATAAACTGAGCGCTAGCTGGGGTAACACCCCTCCAGTTTATTAACTTTGTATCAAGGCAACACCCTTCCCTCGTGTTACGCCATTCCTTTGACAGAATCCCTCCCCTTCTCCCCCCCCCCCCCCCGCCCCGAAGTAGCAAGACGTCACTATGACGACCGTACATTACGCGAGGTCTGTTTGGGTTACCTTTACCAAGTAACACGTCTATCGATACCCTCTATCTATCTTTACATACCCTAACAAATTCACCCTTTCGAAACTTGGTTTAGATACATATTTTTTTTTTAGATTAGAAATGTGTTTTTAATTTTCTTCATTACTAACTCGTTACTTTTCTTTACAATTAAGTATAAAAAATTTTTTTAAATACAATTTTTTTGACTTACACCCTTTTTTCGACCAAAGCATGTTATCAAGATTAAGAAAGTCAATTTGTCAATGAATCAGAACGAAATTATCAATGAAGAATACAAAAAATGTAATCATCTTAACAAAAGCATGCGTCACAACTGTTATTAAATAACACATCTTTCAACAAATACAATAGCTACTCTCATTGTGACGTCATCTATATGAAAATAATCCCCAAAATATGACGTCATTTTTACCATATCCGATCACAGTTGTAACTTAATCTCGAACAATATGACACCCGACAAACATCTTACATTACGTCATATTCGTTATGTCATAGTTTTTGTTAAAATTACAGACCGTTTGTGACGTCATACCTTCATACATAACATATATAGTTATTTAAAAACACTGTACATAAAAAAGACATCGATATTTTGACATTATACATGCACGTATTGAATTCAACAGAACGGACACATTGTTTCATTTTAAAACACAAACTTCACGCATTGTTTATTTAAAACACATTTAACCATTTTTTCAAACAAAAACACCAACTCCAAAAAAAAAAAAAAAAAACAACGAAAGAATTGAAAAACGTAGAGTTATATAGCATTTTAGGTTCAAACATATTCGAAAAACACCATCATGTAACACCATCTGGTAACACCATCTGGTAACACCATCTGGTAACACCATCTGGTAACATCATCTGGTAACACCACCTGGTAACACCACTTGGTATCACCATCTATTGAAGTTCTTGTCTTATCCATTTGATAGTTTTATATGGAGAAAATGGTTGATGCCATATGCTCCATAAGGCGTAACCAGGACTAAGCAAAGTCCGAAAGTTCTGGAAACTTAACCACTTAACCGGACTTTCTTAACCTTTCCCAAGATACGCAATCCAGTTTCTTAACATCTCAAAAAATCAGCCAGCAAGATTATCCTTCCATGTTTTTAAAATAATTAGAAATAATTGTTGAGGCTAAATTCTCCTCATGAAGTAATGAGTAATCTGTCAAGTCTGAAAGTTTTAGAAATTAGTCCACTTGACCAGATTTTAACTTTTCCAAGTTAGGTAATCCAGTATTTTAATCACGCCAAATCTAAACCAACACGTTTATTTCCACCAATTTTTAAAACTATTAGATCTATTTATAGTTTCTTTGCTTCTCATTTACAATGTTATCTCGCTTGCAATAGTCTTTTTTTCTTACATTTCAACAGTAGGTTTGAACCTCTCAGTACGAAATAGATATCATTACGTATGTTTATGTATGTAGGTCTATGAATGGATGATTCCAAATTTTCAAGCATTCACTTTTTACTAGAAAAAAAAAAGTTTTTTTTCCTAATCTTTTTATTTACTTTCCACACAAAAATGAATTCCACAAGCCTCGTTTTGGTTCACACAAGATAAAACAAAATAGAAGGCAGAACTTTATAGACTCTTTGTTTATCAATCACAACGCTCATCCAATCACAGTCGCCGTAACAGATTTTTCAAATTTGAATCAACCAATCACCAAAGAGAACACTTGTGTACTGGGTTCATTTTGGATCCTAGCGGGCACCCGTAGGCTTGAGAAAATTCTTTAGAGTTTGAAAGTGGCCCGAACACACGGATGGGGCCCAGGCTGTGGGCCGAGGTTCGAATCTTTCTCAGAGCCTCCTCGTCCCTCATCAGACCGCACCATATCTGTGGGAGGAATCAACACATTGTAAACACGCATTCAAATATAATGGTTGAATGTATGGAGTAGTTATAAACACATTGTAACCACGCATCCTAATATATAAATCCCCACGTTCGCACATCTCTCTCTCTCTCTCTCTCTCTCTGTCTGTCCGCAAAAAATTTTCGCCGGACATCACGTCAGAATCGGCAGCGATATATCGAGAACTTTTTACGGACTTTTGTTGAAAATAATATGTTAGATGTTTTAAATGTATAACCACAATTTTATTTAAAGAAGAAAAATAAAAAATAAAGGCGTATTCGAATGTAGAGAAACAGTATTATTTATGCAACCGGAAAAGCATTAATACATGTGAAAAAGAACGCATAAAACTGTGACGTCACTATTGCTTATACATAACTAATGACGTCATCTGCCGTGTTTCGAATAAAAAGAAATGAACTATTTCATTCAAATTTGATTTTGATCTACGTACACTATGAAATGTATACAATACAATTTATCCGGCCTAAACTCATAAAATTTAGTTTATGTATTTGGATTCTAGATCTAGATATTCTAGATCTAGACTAAATCTAAATCTAAATCTACGCAATAACTAGATCTAGACGTAGACGCTAAGATCTAGATTTAGACTCTAACCTCTCTAAAATCAATTCCAAAAATAAATTTCTATATTAGGACTAAACTATTTCAAGACTTATTTATTTTATACAAAATCTTTGTTTGGAACTGGCTAATTTGGGATAAAAAAATTAATTTGAAAGAATATGCATATTCGTGTAAGTTAAGATTTTAAAATACGTATTTCATTCTCCGTATTTTATAAGGTGCCTAAATAGCGGAGATGTTAGTGTACATTAAACCACGCAGGTGGTGCGGGTTCGAGACACACCAAGTCAACTTGGTTAATGAATTTTTTTTATTATGCTCGGGCTAAACTTAAAAAAAAAATTCTTTTAGGAATCTAGATCTAGATTGTCGGGTGTCCGATAGGGCACTTCCCGGAGCCGCAGGCGCTTCAAATTTGGCAGGATCTTGCCTTGGGGCGACAGAACACGGGGGCCGGTTGGCCGAAAAGTCTCCGACGAGGGGGTCAAAACTGACCTCGACTGACCGGTACCTTATATGAGCTATAAATCGAAAAAAAATGTCCACGGAGGAACCTCTTCATAACTCTTGAGGTCGTAGACCGACCAGCGGGCGAATTAATTAAGCATTCAAATTCTCAATGTTTTCGAAAGCCTAAGCGAAGCTGGGCAGCATGCCTAGTACAAATATAATGGTTGAATGTGTGGAGTAGTTATCAACACATTGTAAACACGCATACAAATATAATGGTTGAATGTATGGGGTAGTTATCAATACATTGTAAACACGCTTACAAATATAATGGTTGAATGTATGGAGTAGTTATCAACTAATTGTAAACATGCATACAAATATAATTGTTGAATGTATGGAGTAGTTATCAACAAATTGTAAACACGCATACAAGTACAATGTATGGAGTAGTTATCAACAAATTGTAAACATGCTCACAAATATAATGGTTGAATGTATGGAGTAGTTATCAATACATTGAAAACACGCATACAAATATAATTGTTGAATGTATGGAGTATCTATCAACACATTGTAAACACGCATACAAATATAATGGTTGAATGTATGTAGTAGCTATCAAAACATTGTAAACACGCATACAAATATAATGGTTGAATGTATGGGGTAGTTATCAACTAATTATAAACACGCATACAAATATAATGGTTGAATGTGTGGAGTAGTTATCAACACATTGTAAACACGCATACAAATATAATGGTTGAATGTATGGAGTAGTTATCAATACATTGTAAACACGCATACAAATATAATGGTTGAATGTATGGAGTAGTTATCAACACATTGTAAACACGCATACAAATATAATGGTTGAATGTGTGGAGTAGTTATCAACACATTGTAAACACGCATACAAATATAATGGTTGAATGTATGGAGTAGATATCAACACATTGTAAACACGCATACAAATATAATGGTTGAATGTATGGAGTAGTTATCAACAAATTGTAAACACGCATACAAATATAATGGTTGAATGTATGGAGTAGTTATCAACAAATTGTAAACACGCATTCAAAAATAATGGTTGAATGTATGGAGTAGTTATCAACAAATTGTAAACACGCATACAAATATAATGGTTGAATGTATGGAGTAGCTATCAACAAATTGTAAACACGCATACAAATATAATGGTTGAATATATGGAGTAGTTATCAACAAATTGCAAACACGCATACAAATATAATGGTTGAATGTATGGAGTAGTTATCAACAAATTGTAAACACGCATATAAATATAATGGTTGAATGTATGGAGTAGTTATCAACTAATTGTAAACATGCATACAAATATAATTGTTGAATGTATGGAGTAGTTAACAAATTGTAAACACGCATACAAGTACAATGTATGGAGTAGTTATCAACAAATTGTAAACATGCTCACAAATATAATGGTTGAATGTATGGAGTAGTTATCAATACATTGAAAACACGCATACAAATATAATTGTTGAATGTATGGAGTATCTATCAACACATTGTAAACACGCATACAAATATAATGGTTGAATGTATGTAGTAGCTATCAAAACATTGTAAACACGCATACAAATATAATGGTTGAATGTATGGGGTAGTTATCAACTAATTATAAACACGCATACAAATATAATGGTTGAATGTGTGGAGTAGTTATCAACACATTGTAAACACGCATACAAATATAATGGTTGAATGTATGGAGTAGTTATCAATACATTGTAAACACGCATACAAATATAATGGTTGAATGTATGGAGTAGTTATCAACACATTGTAAACACGCATACAAATATAATGGTTGAATGTGTGGAGTAGTTATCAACACATTGTAAACACGCATACAAATATAATGGTTGAATGTATGGAGTAGATATCAACACATTGTAAACACGCATACAAATATAATGGTTGAATGTATGGAGTAGTTATCAACAAATTGTAAACACGCATACAAATATAATGGTTGAATGTATGGAGTAGTTATCAACAAATTGTAAACACGCATTCAAAAATAATGGTTGAATGTATGGAGTAGTTATCAACAAATTGTAAACACGCATACAAATATAATGGTTGAATGTATGGAGTAGCTATCAACAAATTGTAAACACGCATACAAATATAATGGTTGAATATATGGAGTAGTTATCAACAAATTGCAAACACGCATACAAATATAATGGTTGAATGTATGGAGTAGTTATCAACAAATTGTAAACACGCATATAAATATAATGGTTGAATGTATGGAGTAGTTATCAACAAATTGTAAACACGCATTCAAAAATAATGGTTGAATGTATGGAGTAGTTATCAACAAATTGTAAACACGCATACAAATATAATGGTTGAATGTATGGAGTAGCTATCAACAAATTGTAAACACGCATACAAATATAATGGTTGAATGTATGGAGTAGTTATCAACAAATTGTAAACACACATTCAAAAATAATGGTTGAATGTATGGAGTAGTTATCAACAAATTGTAAACACGCATACAAGTACAATGTATGGAGTAGTTATCAACAAATTGTAAACATGCTCACAAATACAATATTTGGAGTAGTTATCAACAAACTGTAAACACGCATACAAATACAATGTATGTAGTAGTTATCAAACAAAGTGTTTCTTCCAGACTCCACGGGCGGGGGGGGGGGGCACTTGAAATTTTCGGGGGTGGGGGTGGGAGGGCGGTAGCATTTCTTCGGGAGGGGGGGGGCATACAAATACAATGTATGGATTAGTTATCAACAAAGTTGTAAAACTGCTTACAAATACAATGTATGGATTAGTTATCGACAAATTGTAAACACGCATACAAATATAATGGTTGAATATTAAATATAGAGGTTATCACAATACAATTGTTTAATACACGTTGTACTTATCACAAATGTATAAGCATACATACACATATTATGGTTTAATATGTGGACTACTTGTTTAATATGCGTAGTAGTTATCACCAATTATGTATAAACGGATATAGAAAAATAAAGGTGTGACATTATCAACCAGTTGAGTTTAATCCCCTATCGTTACATATCTGACAACACTCCAGGTTAAAACAAACTCTTCAACTATCCCCCTCCACCCCACCCATCAATTGCACGTGTTAAAATACCCATGCCAGTTACTCCCATCAATTACCCCCCCCCCCCAACCTCGGCAGTTACTAACTGTCAATACTTCACCCACGTCACCTAACCACGTCAACTATGCCCCTACAACTACAACTACCCCCCATCCCCCCGCCGTCAATTCAACCCCCCCCCCTCCTCATCCCAATTCAAATTATTGTCAGTTTATTCAATGTGGATATGTGAAAAAGGGGCTGTAACGTTCAATCCAATCATCAACTTCATTTAAAGGAAATATAATCTCGTAAACAGTGCCAGAATGATTCAAAGACTGCCGTAAACAGTGCCAGACTGATTCAAAGACTGCCGCAAACAGTGCCACACTGATTCAAAGACTCTCGCAAGCAGTGCCAGAATGATTCAAAGACTCTCGCTAACAGTGCCAGAGTGATTCAAAGACTCCAGCAAACAGTGCCAGACTGATTCAAAGACTTCCGCAAACAGTGCCAGAGTGATTCAAAGACTCCCGCAAACAGTGCCAGAGTGATTCAAAGAGTGAGCTCTCACCTGAGCAAAGTTCAGGAAAAATAACTGGTTGTGGCTCAAACCGATGCCAGGTAGCGCTGGTTCCTCTCCATTTTTCTCCACCCATTTCCTGTACGCCTGGAGAAATCAGACATATGTGGTACTAGTATGGGGTGCAAGTAATGGATAGGTATATGTATTAATTGTATGCGATATTTATATAAAGTGCTTGTGTGTGGTACTTGTATAGGGTACTTATATGGGTACTTGTATGAAGTACCTATACGTGGTACTTGTATGGGCACTTGTAATTGTACTTGTAAGGAAAATTTGTATGTAGTACTGTATGGTGTACTTCTATGGGTTATGTGTATAGGCTGCATGTAGGCCTATGGGAACAAGGTACGTATATGTGGTACTTGCATTGTGTATCTGTATTGTTTACTAGTCAGTGGCGTCGCTAGGTCGAGTGTCACCCGGTGCGGCACTTCGTGGTGTCGCCCCCCCCCCCCCCAAGAACCAAAGTATATATATATATATATATATATATATATATATATATATATATATATATATATATATATATATATATATATATATATATATATATATATATATATATATATATATATATATATATCTGTGTGTGTGTATATCGGCCTACATAAGCCTATAATTTAAATATATGCTTACGTGTTTGCTTATAAGCTTTAATCACTGCAAACTTAATAGTAACGATGTTTTTGGATATTATTTTAATGATATGGTAAGATATAGTCACAATATAGTGGTTTCACCCGGTGCGGCCCGAACCACCCGCCCCGCCCTCGCTACGCCTCTGTTACTAGTGTGGATACGTCTATGTGGTATTTGTATGGGGTACTTGTATGGGTTTTTTGCATGTAGTAGCTTACTTGTATGGGGTACAGTATAGGATACTTGTTAGGGGGTTATTTTTTGGGCACTTGTAATTGGAGGGGACATCTGTAGGTAGTACTTGTATGGGGTACTTTTATGTACATCAAAAGGCGACTCCATAATGCTATTAAGTATATCTTTTTTGTTCGTATAGGTGTCAGGGTTTGCAAAAGGATTAAAGGCTGCCTAAATAATAATGAATAAATGTAACAAATCGATCTAAGATAAACTAACTTAAACTTCAATAATGCACCACAAGTTAAGGTAAGAACTTAATGTAATAAGTTAAATATTTTTAAAAATAAAGAATTCACTGGACAAATAGTAGTCTTTCTAGAATGTAGTAAAATTCAGAAAAAGAAACTGAAAAAAGGGAACTAACCCTATATGACTGTTTCAATCCTCCATTATCTGCGATATTCTCCCCTTGACTGATCTTTCCGCTCATCTGTAAGCAAGAAGCAACAAACATAACGACTCATCAACAATGATAATTAAATGATTTTTGATAAGACTAATAATAATAAAGAGCTGACCCGCGACGTAGTATACGCCGCCATCTTGTTGTTTAATTTTCTGCTTATCAGCAAGTCATAAATTGTGAATCCAACACTACACCCTCCAGCCCCCCCTCCCGCACCCCTCCCCCCCCCCTCCTGCCCAGTGAAAACAGTCGTTTCCAAAAAATTGTTACCTCCCCTTCGTTTTAAATGGTTTAATACTAAACTATCTGCCCCTAATAGCCGTCACTAACCCGGCTCTACGATTGTAAACATTCGGGGTGAACCACAGCTCACCAGACCATGTGGGGGTGGTGGCTACGCTGCGTGATGTTTTCTATCGTCTCCATGAAGAGAATTATATAGATAATAATAATAATAATAATAATAATAATAATAATAATAATAATAATAATAATAATAATAATAATAATTATTATTATTATTATTATTATTATTATTATTATTATTACTATTATTATTATTGTTATTATTATTATTAATAGTAGTAGTAGTAGTAGTAGTAGTAGTAGTAGTAGTAGTAGTAGTAGTAGTAGTAGTAGTAGTAGTAGTAGATTTAGTAGTATTAAAACACAAGCTTTAATACACACTTCATAGCAAGAAGATAAAATAATTTGTCTTAAGTTATAATAGAAGCACACCAGACATTTTCATTTGTCAGCACGACATTATTATATCCTTTTATTTGCATCATTAAGCAACAACAAAATAATTAACCCAAGGGAAATAATTTACAAGAAAATTGCTAAATTTATATATGGACATATATTTCAAATCTTGACTGATGATTATAATATTTTTTATACGCTTTCAAAATAAATTGTAGCTCTAATTACGAAAATAAACTTATTTATTTATTGTGTTTCGGTTAAATATTTAGTTGCAGGTTTAAATAATACTAAAACATGTTAGCTTAATTTCAAGTGTATATCGCTTAAAATCTGTAACTTGTCTTTCCTAACTATTCTATATTTAACGATCCTTTTACAAAAATTTTGGATCCTTCAACTTGAAGGACAATTAATTAGTAACAAGATTATGCAGGAAAGGGTAAACAATATAGCAAACATAAAACTGCACATAAGCCTATTCTTATTTTCGTCTCTGAACGCAAGGATTACCTCCCCGAAAAACACATCACACCTCTACAGCCAGTAGTCTTCCGCCCGTGACGTAGCACACTACGTTAGTACTACGTAACAGCTCGCTATACGGTATACGGCCGCATTGTATATGTCACACTAAACGTGACCATGCGGCCATAATAAGTACACTAATTAGTCGCTAGAAATAAGGAGGGTTCGGCGAATGCGCGTATGAAGCTGGGGGGGGGGGGGGGGTTCGGTACCCACAAAACAGGTTAAGAACCACGGCACTGGAGAAAACGTGAGAGCGTGTGATAGTAATGATTAAGTAAGAGAAAAGTGATTCTGTAAAGAAATATGTGATTCTTTTTAGAGAAACGTGATTCTGTAGAGAAAAAAATGTGATTCTTTGGAGGGAATTGTGATTTTTTTAAATAAAAGAAAAACATTATTCTTAGAAAATAGACGTAATTTTTTTAGAAAGAAATGTGATTTTGTAGAACAAATATATTTTCCTTTACTCTCTCTATTGTGTCACTTTTATAAGACGTCAAAGAGAGCGAAAATTGAGGAAGAATTTTGAGCAAATAGACGTGACAGAGAAACGTGATACAGAGGAGAGAGAAACGTGATCATGCATACAGGGATAAGTGAAACAGTATAGAGAGAAACGTGAGAGAATACAGAGAGCTACGTGACACTGCACATAGAGCTACATGACACTGTACAGAGAGCCACGTTAACAGTGTACATAGAGCAAAGAGGCAGTGTACAGAGAGCAACGTTAACAGTGTACATAGAGCAAAGAGGCAGTGTACAGAGAGCAACGTTAGCAGTGTACATAGAGTAACGTGACAGTGCACAAGAGAGCAACGTGACAGTGTACAGAGAGCAACGTGACACTGTACAGAGAGCAACGTCACAGTCTACAGAGAGAACGTGACAGTTTACAGAGTGCAACGTAGCAGCGTACATAGAACAACGTGACACTGTACAGAGAGCTTTGAGATACTATACAGAGAGCTTCGAGACACTGTTCAGAGAGCCATGTGACAGTGTACATAGAGCGACGTGACACTATACAGAGAGTCACGTGACAGTGAATAAAGATGACCGTGTAACTCACGTATTCATTGATCTGCTCCAGCTTAAAGTTGGAGTACTGGTCTATGAAACACTGGGCCCGTTGTCTAAAGGCATCGATAGTTCTGTTGTCCCACCATTGTTTGATGTTGCCGTTTTTGTCGTACTGGCGTCCTGAGGACATAGTGAGGACATGGAGAGGATATGGGGAGGACATGGAGAGGACATGGTGAGGACATGGTGAGGACATTGTGAGGACATAGTGAGGACATAGTGAGGACATGGGGAGGACATGGTGAGGACATGGTGAGGATACGGGGAGGACATGGGGAGGACATATGGAGGACATGGGGATTACATGGTGACAATACGGGGAAGACATGGGGAGGACATATGGAGGACATGGGGAGGACATGTTGAGGACATGGTGAGGACCTGGTAAGAACTTAGTAAGGACAATAAGGATAGAGTGGGGGGGGCGTTGTGAGGACATATTAAGGACACAGTTAGGACTCAGTGAGGACGTAATAAGGACATAGGACAGTGACTTCAGTCCCTTCTAGGACACAAGTTTAAGACACATTTCATGAATATATTGGGTCTTCGTGAATATAATACGATTTATATATAGGTAGGACATATATTGAGCATATATTGACACATAAACAGCACACACAATTTAAAAAACCGCATTGATGACACTTTAAGAGCACAGCGTTGACACGTTAAAGACACACGATTAACATATGAATAAGCTCCGTACATTCGCATTACTAGAGGGACATAATTACACAACCACTGACACAAATTGTAACCTTCAACTGAATGTCAAAGGTCCATAACCCACTAGCCTTCTAGTTCTTTTACTTACGACAATTAACACGCACACACATACACACAGGCGCGCACACACTCTCACATACAATAATTGGCTCCTTTAAGGTTTTTTGTGATCTTGTCTCTGTGTTAAAAAACTAATGTTGATGGGCTAATTATCGTATTGTATAGTATCTAAAGGTCTAGAGTTACCCTACTTTATGTGGTAGTATAGTAAACAACAGGGAAGGGAGGGAACTACCGTTTTTATATAGCAAAAACAAAAACAAAATGAGTTGTCTCATCCTGTAACACAGTTGTAAACTTAAGAAGTAGAACTTGCGGTTTTGTCCCTTGTTTAGTTTATACTTAAACAAGGGAGACTAGTCTTACCCTTGTCATCAAATCCGTGAGTGATTTCATGCCCAATCACAACGCCAATACCCCCGTAGTTCAGAGATCTGCAGAAGTTAGGTGGTTATAATAATAATTTTTTTTTTAATAAATTATGTAACTATTTCAAACAAAAACTATTTAGAAACCGCATATTAATTTATTTGTAAAATCATAGTTGTCAATTCTTCAAAATCTACCCTGAAAAAATTACAAAAAGATTCTTTGAAATTAAAATTACTAACCCTTGAAATAAAACAAAATTCACTCTTGTAGATATATAAAAATGCACTCTTGTATAAACAAAATAAATATATCTAAAATTTTAAAAACTTAATCTCTACAATTCAAGAGTCGCATCCCTTGAATGATAAAATTAAGTCCCCTGAAGGAATTGTAAACTTACTTTGGAAAGGTCGCACTGTAGAAGGAAGGCTGAAGAATCCCCGCTGGGAAAACTATTGTAGAAATTAAACATTAAAAATATTAATTCGATGTAATTTTAGTTATGTAAGAGAAAAAAACAGGTGTAAAAAGAATAACCTGTTATCCATAAAATATGTTTCTTTAGAAAAACGTACACTTATAATCTGAACAAATGCTGGGTACTTATATTAGCTGAGTTGACTCAGGGACATCATTCGGTGTAAAAAAAATTGGGACGCCAGTCAATAAAGTTAGGTACAAGATTAAAAAATCAGTATTGTTTATGCCACCATAACCTATTGTTTGGTGCCCGCTAACCCAAATCTAAACCATTGAAAACTAAATTTTTAACACAACCTAAACAAATGCTATGTGTTAACCTTAATCTTAACATGGCTTGAACACCAGCCGCTAAGTGCCCTTAACACTTATCTAAACATGATATAACCAGCTAGTTATGTGCCAGCTCTTTACCCTAATCTTAACACGAAATAACCAACCCTAAAACCAGAGGCGTAGCGAGGGGGGGGGGGGTGCGGACCGCACCGGGTGACACCATTTAGGGGGGTGACACCAAGGCAAATTATAAAATATATAGAGGAAAAAATTGAGGGGGGGTGCAAATCGAAAATTCGAAAGTTTGTCCCCGGGACTGGTCGCTACACCTCTGTGGGGGTGACACCATTAAGTGCCGCACCGGGTGACACCCGACCTCGCTACGCCACTGCCTAAAACAACCCTAATCTTAACACGAAATAACCAACCCTAAAACAACCCTAATCTTAACACGAAATAACCAACCCTAAAACAACCCTAATGTTCATACAATCTGACCAGTAGCTATGTGCCCACTTAAGCTAATCTTAACATGATATGAAATGTTATTGTGGAGCCACTAACGCTAATCTTCATGATATAATCAGCAATCTATGTACCGACTGCTTACCCTAACCCTAACACGACACACCCAGTTGTTTGGTGCCCACTTACCGTAACCCTAACATGACCCAACAATCAGTTATGTGCCCACTTCTAACCCTAATCCAAACATGGTATAACCATTAGTTATGTGCCCACTTCTAACCCTAATCTAAACATGGTATAACCATAAGTTATGTGCCTAATTTTAACCCTAATCTAAACATGGTATAACCATTAGTTATGTGCCCACTTCTAACCCTAATCTAAACATGGTATAACCATTAGTTATGTGCCCACTTCTAACCCTAATCTGAACATGGTATAACCATTAGTTATGTGCCCACTTCTAACCCTAATCCAAACATGGTATAACCATTAGTTATGTGCCTTATTTTAACCCTAATCCAAACATGGTATAACCATTAGTTATGTGCCCACTTCTAACCCTAATCCAAACATGGTATAACCATTAGTTATGTGCCCACTTCTAACCCTAATCCAAACATGGTATAACCATTAGTTATGTGCCTTATTTTAACCCTAATCCAAACATGGTATAACCATTAGTTATGTGCCCACTTCTAACCCTAATCTAAACATGGTATAACCATTAGTTATGTGCCCACTTCTAACCCTAATCTGAACATGGTATAACCATTAGTTATGTGCCCACTTCTAACCCTAATCCAAACATGGTATAACCATTAGTTATGTGCCTTATTTTAACCCTAATCTAAACATGGTATAACCATTAGTTATGTGCCTAATTTTAACCCTAATCTAAACATGGTATAACCATTAGTTATGTGCCCAATTTTAACCCTAATCTAAACATGGTATAACAATTAGTTATGTGCACACTTCTAACCCTAATCTAAACATGTTATAACCATTAGTTATGTGCCCAATTTTAACCCTAATCTAAACATGGTATAACAAGTTGTTGAGTGACCCCTAACACTAATCTAAACATGGTATAACAAGTTGTTGAGTGACCCCTAACACTAATCTAAACATGGTATAACAAGTTGTTGAGTGACCCCTAAAACTAATCTAAACATGTCATAACAAGTAGGTGAATGCCCACTAACCCTAATCTAAACAATAACATGACTTAACCAGTAGTCCCGTACACGCTTAGCCTACTCTAAACTACACAACAAACTGTCGCCTGTACACTTACGTATATCGTTAGCACCCTAATCTAAACTACACAACAAACTGTCGCATGTACACTTACTTATGTCGTTAGCACCCTAATCTAAACTATACAACAAACTGTCGCCTGTACACTTACTTATGTCGTTAGCACCCTAATCTAAACTACACAACAAACTGTCGCCTGTACACTTACGTATATCGTTAGCACCCTAATCTAAACTACACAACAGTCGCCTGTACACTTACGTATATCGTTAGCACCCTAATCTAAACTACACAACAAACAGTCGCCTGTACACTTACGTATATCGTTAGCACCCTAATCTAAACTACACAACAAACTGTCGCCTGTACACTTACGTATATCGTTAGCACCCTAATCTAAACTACACAACAAACTGTCGCATGTACACTTACTTATGTCGTTAGCACCCTAATCTAAACTACACAACAAACAGTCGCCTGTACACTTACTTATGTCGTTAGCACCCTAATCTAAACTACACAACAAACTGTCGCCTGTACACTTACGTATATCGTTAGCACCCTAATCTAAACTACACAACAGTCGCCTGTACACTTACGAAAATCGTTAGCACCCTAATCTAAACTACACAACAAACTGTCGCCTGTACACTTACGTATGTCGTAAGCACCCTAATCTAAACTACACAACAAACAGTCGCCTGTACACTTACGTATGTCGTTAGCACCCTAATCTAAACTACACAACAGTCGCCTGTACACTTACGTAAATCGTTAGCACCCTAATCTAAACTACACAACAAACAGTCGCCTGTACACTTACGTAAATCGTTAGCACCCTAATCTAAACTACACAACAAACAGTCGCCTGTACACTTACCTATATCGTTAGCACCCTAATCTAAACTACACAACAAACTGTCGCCTGTACACTTACGTATGTCGTTAGCACCCTAATCTAAACTACACAACAAACTGTCGCCTGAACACATACGTATATCGTTAGCACCCTAATCTAAACTACACAACAAACAGTCGCCTGTACACTTACGTAAATCGTTAGCACCCTAATCTAAACTACACAACAAACAGTCGCCTGTACACTTACGTAAATCGTTAGCACCCTAATCTAAACTACACAACAAACAGTCGCCTGTACACTTACGTAAATCGTTAGCACCCTAATCTAAACTACACAACAAACAGTCGCCTGTACACTTACATAAATCGTTAGCACCCTAATCTAAACTACACAACAAACAGTCGCCTGTACACTTACGTAAATCGTTAGCACCCTAATCTAAACTACACAACAAACAGTCGCCTGTACACTTACGTATATCGTTAGCACCCTAATCTAAACTACACAACAAACAGTCGCCTGTACACTTACGTATATCGTTAGCACCCTAATCTAAACTACACAACAAACTGTCGCCTGTACACTTACGTATGTCGTTAGCACCCTAATCTAAACTACACAACAAACTGTCGCCTGAACACATACGTATATCGTTAGCACCCTAATCTAAACTACACAACAAACAGTCGCCTGTACACTTACGTAAATCGTTAGCACCCTAATCTAAACTACACAACAAACAGTCGCCTGTACACTTACGTAAATCGTTAGCACCCTAATCTAAACTACACAACAAACAGTCGCCTGTACACTTACGTAAATCGTTAGCACCCTAATCTAAACTACACAACAAACAGTCGCCTGTACACTTACGTATATCGTTAGCACCCTAATCTAAACTACACAACAAACTGTCGCCTGTACACTTACGTATGTCGTTAGCACCCTAATCTAAACTACACAACAAACTGTCGCCTGAACACATACGTATATCGTTAGCACCCTAATCTAAACTACACAACAAACAGTCGCCTGTACACTTACGTAAATCGTTAGCACCCTAATCTAAACTACACAACAAACAGTCGCCTGTACACTTACGTAAATCGTTAGCACCCTAATCTAAACTACACAACAAACAGTCGCCTGTACACTTACGTAAATCGTTAGCATCCTAATCTAAACTACACAACAAACAGTCGCCTGTACACTTACGTAAATCGTTAGCACCCTAATCTAAACTACACAACAAACAGTCGCCTGTACACTTACGTAAATCGTTAGCACCCTAATCTAAACTACACAACAAACAGTCGCCTGTACACTTACGTAAATCGTTAGCACCCTAATCTAAACTACACAACAAACAGTCGCCTATACACTTACGTAAATCGTTAGCACCCTAATCTAAACTACACAACAAACAGTCGCCTGTACACTTACGTATATCGTTAGCACCCTAATCTAAACTACACAACAAACAGTCGCCTGTACACTTACGTATATCGTTAGCACCCTACTCTAAACTACACAACAAACAGTCGCCTGTACACTTACGTATATCGTTAGCACCCTACTCTAAACTACACAACAAACAGTCGCCTATACACTTACGTATATCGTTAGCACCCTAATCTAAACTACACAACAAACAGTCGCCTGTACACTTACGTATATCGTTAGCACCCTACTCTAAACTACACAACAAACAGTCGCCTGTACACTTACGTATATCGTTAGCACCTTACTCTAAACTACACAACAAACAGTCGCCTGTACACTTACGTATATCGTTAGCACCTTACTCTAAACTACACAACAAACAGTCGCCTATACACTTACGTATATCGTTAGCACCCTACTCTAAACTACACAACAAACAGTCGCCTATACACTTACGTATATCGTTAGCACCCTAATCTAAACTACACAACAAACAGTCGCCTGTACACTTACGTATATCGTTAGCACCCTACTCTAAACTACACAACAAACAGTCGCCTGTACACTTACGTATATCGTTAGCACCCTACTCTAAACTACACAACAAACAGTCGCCTGTACACTTACGTATATCGTTAGCACCCTACTCTAAACTACACAACAAACAGTCGCCTATACACTTACGTATATCGTTAGCATTTGGGCTGTAGAAGGCATTGACCACCACTGGATCCTGCTCCCAGCTAAAGAAAGAAAAATTTTAAAAAAATACATTAAATACCTCCACAACTTCAGTGTTTCTTTCAGGCATCAGTAATATAGGTCACTTCCCCCCCCCCCCCTCCAAGATCACGACTTCCGCCCCTCCCAACGAACGAAATAGAATTTATGTAGAAAATATATACTTTTAACAAGTGTCCTCACCCCCCCCCCCTGCCTCTCGGAATATTAGTCCGCCCTTCCCCACCGCATTTTTAAAGTGCCCCCCTCCCCCGGATAAAAAAAAGTCTGAAACAAACACTTCACATCTTAACATATCACAACAGTTGTGGTATCATATTAGTATCATATTAGTAAATAACAGTGACTGACGTAACATCTTTGTTCGGGCTTGAGTTCAGAGGAAATCCATGAGGGGTACCTCAACACAACACTGACCACACAATACCTTACCTCCTCCTTCAACTGTTTCCCCCCTGTTTCCCCCCCCCCCCTGTTTCTATGACCTCGGCATATGAAGGGATAACATAATCAGTACTATGCCAGGACGCTTTTACTTTCCTTTACAAGAATAAGGTACCCATCAGAGCTGGGTGGACTCATTAACGTACTACGGCTTTGAGCCGAGTATCCGAACTCGAGCCTTTGGGTTTAGCAGGCAAACACTCTACAACTCCACCACACCGTCCCAAATATAGAAATGATAAATTTGTAATTGGAAGACATTTTAACACTTCTATCTACTATTTTATTCACTAAGCAGCCATGAAATGTAGCCTTCCCCCCCCCCCTCCCCCCCCCCCCCAAAAAAAAAAACACAACTTTCCTACAACTGTAATTTAGACACGAGAATCGGTTCCAAACGCATGCGCAAAGACACTAGTGTCGACTTCCGGTACAGACCACTCACCAAGGTTACCCCAGCGGTTGTTAACACTGTACTCTCCCCCCTTCCCTCCCCCCAGACACAAAACAAACACTCCACTGCCCCATGATCACGTGATACCCGTCTAGACAAACGCGTGCTCAATCAATAGCCTCCAAACCAGCGAGAACTATATTTTTTGTTGTCACAAACTTTCGGGAAAATCAATGAGGTATTTTTAGAATAGGATTTACCCGTTCATACTCCATAGTTAAATTGACCTACTGGATTAGTATTTTGTTTTGTTGTATCCACATCAAGATCAGCGTTCAAACCTACCCGGGAAGAGTGTGGATTGTTTCCCCTTATGCAGTTACAGCTGCTTAAACCTTTAGTCTAAACTCGATCCTTTAACCTTACTATATCCCAAATCCAGATTTTAAACTTTTATCGAACCCTATTCGGGGCTTTTGGCTGTCGGCCTTTTGTCTTGTCGGCCTTTAGGATGTTGGCCTTTTGTCCTACACCACAAAACCCCAGCGTTTCTTTCAGGGATGTCTCGGAGAGACGGGGGGGGGGGGCGCTCAAGGCAGCGCTACTTCCACCCCCGAAATATTTTTTTTTAAATATAGAAAATGTATTTTAACCCGTTTCCGCTGCCTCCCCCGAAAATCTAGTGCGACTTCACCCACTTCCCCCCCCCCCCCCCTAGCCTGGATTAATTCTCCCCCACCTTGAAAAAAATGTCTAAATCAAACCCAGCATAAATACTCATAACTAGATTTTTTTTGGAACTCATTTCATCTATTCATGTTGAACTCACCCAGCTTAATTAACTTAACTTTAGTCAAGGATCCGCTTCAGTATCACGCCTAGAGGCCAACCAAATTTAAGAGGTACCTGAATTGGGGAAAGAAAAGGCGGTGGGCTTAATACTGACCACACTATCGCTGAGGCCGAAGAAACATCTCTCCTACCAACCGCTTCGCCGGAAAGGGTAACTTACTTATACTAATCATATCCTAATGTTTAACAAGAGATATATTTACTCAGATACATTGTTTTTTATATAGAAAACATTTACAACTGATTGGCTTCTAAAAGAAGACTATCATAACCAACTATATTCACCAACACACTGGAAATATCAGCCAGAAAAAAGTATCGTTCCCACCCTGAGGTGATGGAACACTACCAGACCCCAAAAGACCGTCCATTTCGACCAAACACCCCACCCTCCCCACCTAAGAAAATGACCGTCCATTACAACACCCCCCCCCCCCCCCCACCACCACCTCAAAAAGAAAAGACCGTCCATACTACCACTAATGATACAAAAACTAAGGGAGAGTATAACATTTTTTTTTTACAATGTAACGAACCAAGGCTGAGATCGCTGTCTCGAATATCCACGCCATCTTATGATATTTTGAGTACTAATTACATCATTATATCCCCTTTTTTATCCAGAATTACCGCCCTTGACAGAAATATAGTTCACGTAATAGAATTTTTTTGTGGGACGTGTTTTGGTTTTGTGTACTGTCCTGGCGATAGACAGTTCAGTATAAGACTCTATAGATGAATCAATATGAGTCTTATCTTATGGATATTACATTTTTTAGCGCAATTTCCATTCTGGAGAATTGCGTTTATTAACCCGTCATTTCTGGATGTATGAATGGATGGATGTGTGTCCGCAGCTTTAAGTCGTATCTCCTCCTCAACGAAGCAATATCGAGGACTAGTTCCAAAAGCAATTATGTTAAGCAAGTTACGGGGATGAACATAGGCCATAAAAATTCCGGGTTTCTTTCATGGATTTCCCGGAAAAGCCAAAACACTTCGAAAAAAGCAGTTTTTGGCCCATATCTCGGCAACCAGACCACTTAGCGACTTGAAACATGTACCAGTCGATTTCTGCCATAATTTAGAACAATATTGCCGAAGAAAGTTTTCAAAAATATCCTTTCGTTCGGTCACAAAAAAATTTTTGAATTAATTAAAATTTGGACCGAATTAGTAGGCATGTTTATCCAACCACACCACACGCGTCATCACGTTCAATAGCTGCGCCATCACGTCCAATGGCTGCGTCATCACGTTCAGTAGCTAGGCGCGCAATGGTTTTTAGTCATGTAACTCTATTGTAAATAAAACTTGTAAAATACTGAATTTTTTTTTAATAAAAAACGTTTTAATAACTAACCAATGGTTTTACTAACCCTGCTCTTGATTTACGCTACGACAGAGCTATTTTTAGATAACATAAGGAAATTGCGCTAAAATTGTCACTAGACTTTTTAATTACCTTGTTTTTATCAGAGGGGACAGTACACTATCTTGGTTCACAGAAAACTGCACAACTAAAAACTGCGCAAACAGATAAATGCGCAAACAAAAAAATGCGCAAATATACAAACTAATTATATTAATACACTTTAATTTTGTTTTATTTTTTGTGTAAAAGTGTTTTATTGTGCTACATTGTACATGTGGCTATTCTTTGTTAATGTCTAAATATGCTGGATTTCAGAAAACAAAAAAAAATGTCCTTGCGCACTATTACTGCACCTCACATGTTATAAAAATAGACAGGGATACTAAAGCCCGCAAATGGGATGGATAGGGCAAATCCTGAGAAGAATAGAGGATAACATCGCAAGCAAAGCAATAGATTTGAATCCCTAGAGGAAGAAGGAAGAAGGCCGGCCAAGGAAATCCTGGAGGAACAGTAGAAGATGAGGCAAAGGCTGCCGGGCTTACATGGGAGCACATATAGAGAGCCGCTCAAAACCGAGTCCAATGGAAAAGTAAGGCTGCAGCCTATTGCTCTTCAATGGCCTCAAAGGAATAAATGAAGTATCACTATATTGAGATTAGGATCATCAATATTAACCTATTATATAAATACATTAAAAACAAATTTTTTCGTTTTTCCGCAACTCCTTTTAAACTCTCCTATTACTACTATTCTTAATTCTGACGAGTAGCCTACTTGTAGCCGAAACTTTAAAAGCGGCGCCAAACCAAACACTGATGACACAGAACCTTCTTCCATCTCAGCCGCACCACCTGACGTGTACCAGCCAATCACCGGCGGCGCCCCCTGACGGCGTTAAATGGAACTCACCAAGCAGACACCAGAGTGAAAAGTTCAAAGGTCAATCAACACATTCAGTCCATGACCTAGTTACCATAGTTACGGCGCTCTCGTAAGTTGGACATTAATAAGGCCACATTTTTTTCCCAGTTGGACATTAACAAGGCCGAAATTCTTAGTATATATATATATATATATATATATATATATATATATATATATATATATATATATATATATATATATATATATATATATATAAGTTCTTGCGATCTCAACATTTAGAAAAAAAAATATTTCTTTTTCAAACCAGCTCCACCACATTCTCCAATCTTCAATTCTAAATTCGCTATTTGTCAGTAAGACATTTTAACAAGGTCTAACCTAACCTTGACCACTAATCTGAACCTAACCACCAACCTAACCCTAACCACCTACCTAACCCTAACCATCCAACTAACCACCCACCTAACCCTAAGCACCCACCTAACCCTAACCACTCACCTAATACAACCAGAACCACCCACCCACCCAACCGTAATCACCCACCTACTTAAGCAACCACCTAACCCTAAGCAACTACCTAACTCTAACCACCTAACCACCTACCTAACCCTAACCACCCACCTAACCCTAACCATCTACCTAACCCTAACCACCTAACCACCCACCTAACCCTAACCCTAACCACCAACCTAACCCTAACCACCCACCTAACCAGTACTCACTTGGTTTTGTTAACCGGTTCACGTAACTTAGACATCAACTTCCGGGCCGAGAATTCTATAATGTGCTTGACGTTGTGGACGTAATCTTCTGTTAACTTCAGCTGGTGATAAAATTAGTGGAATCGATTACTGCTTGATTCTTGGTCAGTATCGTCACATGGTGACAAAATAAGTGGAATCGATTACTGTCTGTGTCTTGGTCAGTATCGTCACGTGGTGACAAAATAAGTGGAATCGATTACTGTCTGTGTCTTGGTCAGTATCGCCACGTGGTAATAGAATAAGTAGTATCGATAACAGGTTTTGTTTTAGTCAGTATCGTCACGTGATGAAAAATAGTAGTATCGATTACTGGTTGTATATTTGCCAGTATCGTGACATGGTGATAAAATAAGTGGAATCGATTACTGGTTGTGTCTTGGTCAGTATCGTCACGTGGTAATAGAATTAGTAGTACCGATAACTGGTTTTGTTTTAGTCAGTATCGTAACGTGGTGAAAAATTAGTAGTATCGATTACTGGTTGTATCTTGGTCAGTATCGTGACATGGTGATAAAATAAGTGGAATCGATTACTGGTTGTGTCTTGGACAGTATCGTCACATGGTGATAAAATAAGTTGTACCGATTACTGGTTTTGTTTTAGTCAGAATCGATGACTTCGTCAAAAACAGTAGTATAGATTACTGGTTGTCATTGTCAGTATCGTCAAGTGGTGATAAATAAAGTAGTATCGATTACTGGATGTGTCTTTGTAAAAGTGAGTAACTTGGTGAACAGCTCATATATAAACTAGTATTAACAGTAACCTTCACTCTATATATAAGCTTATATCTAACCTTTTTATATACTTGTATATTCAGATATTGAATATAACTAATAACATAATTCATTTAAAATTAAAACAGGATAAAAATAAGCTTTATAATGAAGTGTTACTAATTACCACAATTACAAATGAATATGTGTGCATGACAAGGATGTAATGACCACCCCCCCCCCCTTGCATACCTTTTACTTCACCCTCCCGACTCTCATTTTATCTCGCCATACCCTCCCCACCCCCCCCCCCCCCACCCCCTTCCCCACTACCAACTTACCGATTCGTATTTCGAGTCCAATTGCTTGCTGTCCGTCAAAATATCCGGATATCCAATCCTCTCCTTCATGGCATTTGCCTGTAATATTTAAAGAATATTTCACGTTATTTTTTTAATTCAACCTAGCTCAAAAGATTCTAAAAGCTAATTATAAAAAACCGTATGTATGTATGGGTTTGTTTCACAATGAGTAGCTAGTTAGACACTGAATTATATTATTGAATGTGTTCTTAAATCAGTTCTTGAAAGTGTTCTTGCATGTGTTCTTAAATGTGTTCTTGAATATGTTCTTGAAAATGTTCTTGAATGTGTTCTTAAATGTGTTCTTGAATGCTTTGTTAAATGTGTTCTTCAATGTGTTCTTAAATGTGTTCTTGAATGTGTTCTTAAATGTATTCTTGAATATGTTCTTGAAAGTGTTCTTTCACGCACATTAATGTAATGTGTCTAATAAATATAAACAGAAAAGCAAGACATATTTGAAATGACAGTTTTAAAAATAAGTAATTTGTGTTAGAATTCTTGTTAAGATTAGAGTAAAAGTGTGTTAAGTCTGTAGGTTTAATCCTACCTAAGTACACCAAGAATGTCAAAGAGTGTCTTAAGAAGGCTATGGCGGGCCTTATATAAACACGCAGAAAACAAAAACAAAGCCATTTAGGGATTGTTACGAAAAGCGTGAGCTAAAATTACACGCCGGCCAAACAACAACATGACACCGTAAATGGCTGAAACGAGATGACGTCATCAGCTGACCCACTAATTATTCCATAATGCTCGGTGCTTTGATAAAAAAAAATCTTTAAAAAAGCCCGTCATCCTATAATTTATCTAACCCGGAAACAGTGAAGTCTAGACGGCCTAATTAGGAGTGATGGAACATCTTAGTTTGAGAAGTTCATGCCATACCCTGCTATGTTGATGCTCAGGGGTTTGGTATTTAATGTGTAGTTCACAGCAGATTAACCCAACATAAGTGTATGACAAGGAAAAAATAAAATCACTATTTGTGTACTTTAGTTTTTTGTTTCTTTCTAGCATAAAGAGTATGTTTGGAACTTTTAAAAACGTGCAAAAATTCGAAATCTATATTTTAACAAATATCGATATTTTACTCCTCCATGAGTTCAAAATAATTCTAAAACGAAATCCTTTAAAATAATCATCCTTTAAATACACTGAAAAAAACCTTGCTGTCTTTACTGAAAGCTTAGGCCTGAAATTATTTAGCCGTGAAAATAAAGTTCATCAAGATGGTAAGCTGATCTGCTAATTATCTCAAGCATATCAATAGTTATCGAAAACAGATTGATCATGTTAATAATTATTTTTTTTTAAGTTTAGGGGAGATCACTCCCGCTTTACTTATCAAGTTCTTTCTGCTCATACATTCAATGATTTGTTCTATTGTAGAGGCCATACTCATACATTCAATGATTTGTTCTATTGTATTGGCCATGCTCAGGTTCTTGAAGGCAAACCTGCGTTGTCATGCATAAATTTTGACAGGCTTATCCATAAAATTCACAAGAAGGCGATCTATAGACTTGGATACATCTATCACAGTAGTGGAAAAGATGTGGCTTTTCTGCTTTTTTTTTTTTTTTTTTTTTTTTTTTTTTTACAGAAATCCACACTCCAAATTTAAACTATTTTTTCATCTTTAAAGAACTTTTATATAAACGTTTTTTTCCCCCGCCTCAGACATGTAATTAACAGCGTCAGTTTGCCGTGTCATGTTCGCTTTGGTATTACAGTTTTCAGCATCGGCTTGTGAGGACTGATACAGATTTACAATAGTAATATTTCTTTCTTGCTTGTAGCCTACTTTCATTTATTTAAGATGGTTTACGTATACATAGATCTAATACAAAACGTCTAAATAAAAAAAAATTTAAAAAATTAAAAATTAAAAAATAAAAAAAAAACCAACCAGAAAATGCAAATGTGTAATTAAATGATGATTCAAAGGATTTTTTTCCTCGGCGTGGTTAGTGAGTGGAATTTTTTTTTTTAAATGATTAAATTATTGTCAATTACTCGTTTCTTTTAAAAATAGATTAGAATTTCATTTACGCTTTTTATATTTTAAATACATCAAAAATACAAACTCATTTATTTATTGTTATGAGTAATTTGGTTTTTTTTAATGTTACTGTTTAATCTTTTACCAAATGTTAACTTTACTAGAGATATTTTATTTTCAAACAAAAAGTTATGTACTATTTTGGAAATTTTAATAAATTTTATATATGTTATCGCCCTTCACTAAAAATTACAAATGGGACGTAATAAACGCATATTTATACACTCGGGCTGTCTATGTACTGTGTGGAATACTTCTCATTGAGGAGTTACGAGACTTGCCACATTTTACAAATTAACAAACAAAAAAAAACCCATTAATTATAAATTAAATAAATGCATATATAAAGCTCTCAGTGTTGCACTCTGTTCTGTGTATGTAGGCTATATGAGTGTGCGCGCGTGCAGAGTTTCTTCCAGGCATCTCTCTTTTTACCGCCCCCATCCCCTTCGAACGAAATGAAATTTATATAATTTATATAGAAAATATATACTTTTAACAGTGTCCGCCTCCCGAAGAAAGTCTACCGCCCCCCCCCCCCCCCCCCCGAAAATTTCAAGTGCCCCCCCCCCCCCCGGAAAAAAAAGTCTGGAAAAAACACTGCGCGCGTGTGTGTATGCGTGTGCGTGTATGTGTGTGAGAAAGCAGGCTAAAATCGGTCCATATAGCATTAAACATGCTAATACATAATACTCAATTGTGTTGAAGGAAATCCCGCACATCATCTACTAGTAAGAGCGAAGAAGAAGAAGAGAAGAAAAAGAGAAGAAGCCTCAATTCATCAGCTGCACACCTTCTTATCACATCCACCAGTCCACCTCTGTTTTTATTATTATTCATGACCGTCCAGAGGCGTAGCGACCCTTCCCGGCGCCCGGGGACAAACTATTCGATTTGCACCCCCCCCCCTCAAACGTTTGATTTGCACCCCCCTCAACCTTTCAATTTATTTCTCCAACCCATTTTGGCGTCCCCTAAGGTCGGCACCCGGGGACATATGTCCCCGTCACCCCTTTAGAGGGGTTACTATGTAAAAACCTCTCTCACACACACGCACGCAAACACAAACACAAAGTCAGCATGTTAGTTCTAATTATAGAAATGACCTCTGACCTTTTCTTTGGCGAACTCTTTGGTCTTCTCGTCCATCCAATCGTTTTCTTCCAGTAGGTCGTTGAAAGCTTCGCGGATGTTGTGGATCATCTCTAGGGCCTGTGGGTTTAAATATACGGCTTTAGCTGGGTTAGAGGGGAGGGTGGGGTGGGAGTGGGAGATGGGTGGGAGTGGTGGGGTGGTAGTGGATGGGTAGTAGTGGATGGGTGGTAGTGGATGGGTGGTAGTGGAGGGGTGGTAGTGGAGGGGTGGTAGTTGATGGGTGGTAGTGGAGGGGTGGTAGTGGATGGGTGGTAGTGGAGGGGTGGTAGTGGGAGATGGGTGGTAGTGAGATATGGGTGGTAGTGGCTAAGTGGTAGGGAATGTGGTAAGAATCATATTAATTTTTCCCGTTGGTACCCAAGACACACGGGGCAGACGAAGGGGATTGTGTGGTCAGCCCTATGCCCAGCCGCCTTGTTTTCCGCAAGTGCCCATCAGAGCAAGCAAGAACTGACCCTGACCTTGCTACTAGACACAAACAAGAACTGACCCTGACCTTGCTACTAGAACTGACCCTGACCTTGCTACTAGACACAAACAAGAACTGACCCTGACCTTGCTACTAGAACTGACCCTGACCTTGCTACTAGACACAAACAAGAACTGACCCTGACCTTGCTACTAGAACTGACCCTGACCTTGCTACTAGACACAAACAAGAACTGACCCTGACCTTGCTACTAGACACAAACAAGAACTGACCCTAACCTTGCTACTAGAACTGACACTGACCTTGCTACTAGACACAAACAAGAACTGACCCTGACCTTGCTACTGTACACAAACAAGCACTGACCGTGTCTTTGCTCTCCTTCTTGAAGTTGTCCCTGATAAACATGGCACCAACAATCATCCCAAGTTTCTCATTGGCTGACTCGACACATTTCTTCCACCTCACCTGGTCCTTCTTCACGCCCTGAGAACATTTGGTCGACAAAATATCATCATAATGGCAAAAAATCATCAGCAAGGCAAAATATCATTCATTCGACAAAATATCATCATATTGACAAAATATCATTAGTAAGACAAAATATCATCATAATGACAAAATAGCATAAGTACGACTAAATATCATCATAATGGAAAAAATATCATCAGTACGACAAAATATCAGTACGACAAAATGTCATCAGTACGACAAAATGTCATCAGTACGACAAAATAAGTACGACAAAATATCATTCGTACTACACAATAGCATGAATGCGACAAAAAATATTGCCACTACCAAAGAATATCATCAATACTGCAAAATCAGCACAACAGAATATCATCAATCCGACAAAGTAACATCATTACGGCAAAATACGACACATTTCCATCCGTACAACGAAATATCAATACGACAATAAATTTTTAACACCCCACCTGTATAACAAGCTTATAACTGACCTGTATAACAAGCTAATACCTGACCTGTATAACAAACTTATAACTCACCTGTATAACAAGCTTATAACTCACCTGTATAACAAGCTTATAACTCACCTGTATAACAAGCTTATAACTCACCTGTATAACAAGCTTATAACTCACCTGTATAACAAGCTTATAACTCACCTGTATAACAAGCTAATAACTGACCTGTATAACAAGCTTATACTCACCTGTATAACAAGCTTATAACTCACCTGTATAACAAGCTAATAACTGACCTGTATAACAAGCTTATAACTCACCTGTATAACAAGCTTATAACTCACCTGTATAACAAGCTTATATCTCACCTGTATAACAAGCTTATAACTCACCTGTATAGCAAGCTTATAACTCACCTGTATAACAAGCTTATAACTCACCTGTATAACAAGCTTATATCTCACCTGTATAACAAGCTTATAACTCACCTGTATAACAAGCTTATAACTCACCTGTATAACAAGCTTATAACTCACCTGTATAACAAGCTAATAACTGACCTGTATAACAAGCTTATACTCACCTGTGTAACAAGCTTATAACTCACCTGTATAACAAGCTTATAACTCACCTGTATAACAAGCTTATATCTCACCTGTATAACTAGCAATAACTCACCTGTATAACAAGCTTATAACTCACCTGTATAACAAGCTTATAACTCACCTGTATAACTAGCTATAACTCACCTGTATAACAAGCTTATAACTCACCTGTATAACAAGCTTATAACTCACCTGTATAACAAGCTTATAACTCACCTGTATAACAAGCTTATATCTCACCTGTATAACAAGCTTATAACTCACCTGTATAGCAAGCTTATAACTCACCTGTATAACAAGCTTATAACTCACCTGTATAACTAGCAATAACTCACCTGTATAAAAATCTTAAAACTCACCTGTATAACAAGCTTATAACTCACCTGTATAACAAGCTTATAACTCACCTGTATAACAAGCTAATAACTGACCTGTATAACAAGCTTATACTCACCTGTATAACAAGCTTATAACTCACCTGTATAACTAGCAATAACTCACCTGTATAAAAATCTTAAAACTCACCTGTATAACAAGCTTATAACTCACCTGTATAACAAGCTAATAACTCACCTGTATAACAAGCTTATAACTCACCTGTATAACAAGCTTATAATCGTTGCTGGCTTTTAGAATTGGCTCCGAGAACTCAGGCGCTAAGTTCATGATGACGCGCCATACCAGGTAATTAGCGACAGTCCTGGGAGATCGAATACACGTCATTATTTATTACGTCACTTTGGTTTATCATCATGGTGGGGTTTAGTATTAGTCGTGACGGGGTTTAGGTATGATCGTGTCAGGGTTTTGTCATGGCTTATGAGGGGTTTTACAATACTACGAGCTGACCCGCGACGTAGCATACGCCGCTATCTAGTTGTTTTATTTTCTACTTATCAACAATTCATAATTTGTGAATTCGACACTACCCCGACCCCCTGTCTTCCCCCCACCCCCACCCTTATCAGTAAAAGCAGCCGTTTACAGACGACAATGAAAATATCAAGCAGAACTTATTATCTCCCCTAGTTTCAAATCGTTTAAATACTAAATTATCTGCACCTAATAGCCGTCACTTATTCGAACCGGCTCTACTATAGTAAACATTCGGGGTAAACCATAGCTCACCTGAAATGTGGGGGTAAGAGTGGTGGCTAAACTGCGTAGTGTTTTCTATGGTCCCCATGAAGATAATTATATAATTATATAGATTGTGGGGGTTTAGTTGAGGTCGTGTCGGGGTTAATCATCGTCGTGTAGGGGTTTTAGTACTGTCGTGTCGGGGTTTTAGTACTATCGTGTCGGGGTTTTAGTACTGTCGTGTCGGGGTTTTGTCATTGTCGTGTCGGGGTTTTAGTACTGTCGTTTCGGGGTTTTGTCATTGTCGTGTCGGGGTTTTAGTACTGTCGTGTCGGGGTTTTGTCATTGTCGTGTCGGGGTTTTAGTACTGTCGTGTCGGGGTTTCAGTACTGTCGTGTCGGGGTTTTAGTACTGTCGTGTCGGGGTTTTGTCATTGTCGTGTCGGGGTTTTAGTACTGTCGTTTCGGGGTTTTAGTACTGACGTGTCCGGGTTTTAGTACTGTCGTGTCGAGGTTTTAGTACTGTCGTGTCGGGGTTTTAGTACTGTCGTGTCGGGGTTTTAGTTCTGTCGTGTCGGGGTTTTAGTAATGTCGTGTCGGGGTTTTGTCATCGTCGTGTCGGGGTTTTAGTACTGTCGTGTCGGAGTTTTGTCATCGTCGTGTCGGGGTTTTTAGTACTGTCGAGGTTTTGTCATCGTCGTGTCGGGGTTTTAGTATTGTCGTGTCGGGGTTTTGTCATGATCAAGGTGGGGTTTTGTTACGGTCGTGTCGGGGTTCTGTTATGGTGACGTGAGTGGTTTAATTATGGTCGTGGAGGGTTTTTGTCACCTATACCAGGGGTCGGCAACCTTTTGAAGCGGAAGAGCCAAAAGTTACAATTTTCAAAATTTCCCTGGTTTTAAAGAGCCACTTACATTTTTTATTTCAAATATTTTATTTTTTATTAAGATTATTAGTATTTGTTCAAGGAACTGGAGAGCCGCGTCTTGTTATCAAAAGAGCCGCTTGCGGCTCGCGAGCCGCAGGTTCCCGACCACTGACCTATACCCATGTCTGAACACAGTGGCACAATGCGGATAGACGTACCTGACATCCGTCTCCTGTACGACCTTGAGAGCGTCCTGGAAGTAGGTGGTGGCGAATACGACCAGCGGTTCCTCCTCTGTGATGGGGTCAGGGATCAGGTGGGTCAGGTAGGTCATCAGGTCAAACTGTAAAGTTACGCGTAAGTTACGGGTCAATTTGTGGTAATATTTTTTTTAATGCCAATTAAAAGAATTTTTTTCTTTAAACAGAAATTATTCAATGGAAAACGGGGGGAAAAGGGAATTTGATCGCGCTATTTTTACGAGGGCCTAATGTCGAAACATTTTGTTTTCCCCTCATCTGTGTTTGTTTTAGTAAGACTTAAGCGTTGCCTACGTTTCATAATATTGACTACTCCACATCTTAATCAAGGCTATCTACAATATTTAGACAATCACTCAAATGATTAAAAACATATGTACGTAAATTCGCAAATACGAAACTTCACGGTAATAATTATCCTTCTTCTTTTTCATTCTTAATTCTAGTGTTGGAAGGGATTCCCTATAGCACAGTTAAGTATTATGTGCCAACTTGTTATGCGTTATATAGCCCGTTGGCTCAGATTTCAGGCTACTTTTCCTTTTTAGATTTGCTTCCACAGCCCTTGTCCAACCAAGATCAAACTACAAGGCAGCAGTTGTTTGATTTTAGAGTTGTCTCTCCTAAAAGAGTTGCTGTCGCCTTCAAGGTTAACTGTAGGGTTGTGTTTTTTTTTCTAACAAGTACTTCAAAGTGTAAAAAAATTGATACCCCCCCAGTGGCGTAGCGAGGTCGGGTGTCACCCGGTGCGGCACTTAATGGTGTCACCCCCCCCCCCCCAGAGGCATAGAGACCCTTCCCAGGGACAAACTTTCAAATTTTCGATTTGCACCCCCCCCCCCCCCTCAAACTTTCGATTTGCACCCCCCCCTCGAGTTTTTCTCTATATATTTTGCTATTTTTTGCCTTGGTGTCACCCCCCTAAATGGTGTCACCCGGTGCGGTCCGCACCCCCCGCCCCCCCCCCCCCTCGCTACGCCCCGGTCCCCCCCCCCCTACCACCCAAAGGATGCGAGACTTGTAAATCTACGTCACTATCTTACCATTTATTTTCACACCGCGTTCAAGAACTGTCCTAACTCCACCTACTATTAGGCGTTAACTTCCCCCCACCCCCAGGCTCAATATAATGAAGCGGCCCGCCTCACCCTACCATTAGGCGTCAACTGCCCCTCCCCCTCCCTCCTAACGACTCCCTGCCTTGGTATAATGAAGCGAGCCGCCTCACCCCACGGGGTCAGTCACGTGATCAAGGGGCCAGTAACTCGCGGGGTTTATTTATCTAGCCGCGTCTTTAAGTACCCGGCGAGACCGGCGCTTTGACCACGCTATCCGGCACTCCATAACCTACGCCGTCCCGGCATGCCGTCTACTACTTCCGTTTCTCGTCCTCACTCTTTCAACTAAACGCTTACACGCCTCCATTATCGATCCACTAATACTACCCCTCCCCCCTCCCTCCTTCCTACATAACGTACACAATGCCGACACAATCATTCATTACGTCGCTGATCTAGTATGTAATTTCATTTTTAACGTGACAAAGACATAATATTGAAAAAAAAATGTAATGATTTTTTTTTAGGTTTTAAATTTTTTTTGGATCGGACAGTTTGGAAATTGAGGTAGATTACGGCGCTGCTTTGATGTGTATATATTATATATTTATATATATATATATATATATATATATATATATATATATATATATATATATATATATATATATATATATATATATATATATATATATATATATGGCGGACGTTTTCCTGAAAGACACTTGCCCGAATGCCGTTTGCCCGAAGGCCGATTTCCCGAATGGACACTTGCCCGAATGCGACACTTGCCCTAATGGGACAAATGCCCGAATGCGACAAATGCCCGAATGGACACTTGCCCGAATGCGACAAATGCCCGAAAGCTGTTTGCCCGAAAAATGTTAATATTAGATAAGAAATAATTTCACCAAATAGACATTCTTAAATAATTCAAGCTTGAAATTTCGATAATAAACATATATATATATATATATATATATATATATATATATATATATATATATATATATATATATATATATATATATATATGTGTGTGTGTGTGTGTTTGTGTGTGTGTGTGTGTGTGTGGAGAGAGAGAGAAGCACACCCACACCATGACAAATGTCAGCAGACAAAATCATCACACAACATCCAACACACTATACACATAAATCTTACACATCAACAAACACACACGTTATCATACACACTTGCTAGCAACAACACACACCACACACACACACCACACAAACAAACAGGTAAAAGTAGATCTAAAACCCACATACACCAGGCATTAGTTTCTGGAAGTCCCTTATGGTCTTCTTGTCGTAGAGAGCTCCAGTGTCGTGTCGCTCCTCATTGGGTCGTGACGCCTTCAAACACAAACAACACATACTTTAACATTTAAACTTTAAAACTTAAACCATCTAGGATTTTAATGGGATCAAAATTTGCAATGTTAAAACAGAATTACAGCAACTTTTTTGTTTCAAAGCGTACATGTTTTTCCTAAAGTTTATGATAGTTTAAATGTATGTATGTGCTAATGGAACAGAGCTAGAAGAGGTCGAAGACTTTAAGTACCTCGCCAGCTATATATCAGCAAATGGCAGCATCAAGAAAGAAATAGCCACTCGAATAGCAATGGCAGTACAAGCTTTCAACAGACTCGCTAAGACCTTGAAATCATCCTCACTGCAGCAGAGAACTAAAATAAGGATCTACAAGTCTATTGTACGCTCTGTACTCCTCTATGCTGCAGAATCATAGAAACTAAACAAGAAAGGAGAGAGCCGCCTAAGAGGCTTTGAAAGAAGATTCATCCAACTATTCTCAGGATGAAGTAGGACGACAAAATCTCGAACAAGGAAATACGACGAAGGACAGCCTTTAACAACATTGTCTTAGAAGTACGAATGCGGAGATGGCGATGACTAAAGGTAGACGATTTAAAACTATTGGTCTAACTAAACCTAGAGGCACACGTTGAAAAACAATTGGTCTGTTAGTCCTCAGTGTAGCACAAGATCACATAATTTAAAAAAAAAAAAACTAACGTTTGCTAGTTTAGTCTCAAACTCCAGAATAGCCTCCACCTTTTGTGTCAAGTCTGGTCCTTTCCCGCCTAGAAACTCAATCACTTTTTTCATAAAACGGCTGGGGAAAAAAAGAAGAAATTTACAACATAAGATCACACATTTACGAACTTTAAAACTTCTTTATAATTTAAGTATAAACGATTAACTACTGAACAGCTTATTGTGTTCCAGGTATGACTTTCACCGAAATATTACATAATAAAGAATGTCCGTTCTTGAAAATGTTTATGTCATATCTCATTTACTACCTATGCTTCTATGAAACTTCGTCACGTAAGAGAGACTCTCGTAAATATAAGACGTTTGTTTTTAGGGGAGTTAGCGAGAAAGGCTGTTGTCTCACTAGGCTAAATCGAAAGCTAATTATTTTTAATTCAAAAGATAGTCTACTCGTTTAAAATATGCGATTGACTCCACCCCGCAACCACCCCCCCCCCCCCCGCGCCCCCCACACACACCATTTTTACGAACTAAACCGAAACAATGAACCAACCAAAATATTGTTTAGTTTATTAGTTTAGACCAGTGGTTCTTAACCTGGATTCAACAGAACCCCAGGGGTTTCGGTGAGTCAGTCTCAGGGGTTAGGCAGCAATCGAGACCGACACCCGACTCCTGTGACTCACGATCTCATTTTGTCAGTGCGGACGATAGAACTATTAACAAGTGTTCGGTCAATGCGCATATAAAACTGTTGGGGTTCGGTACCTCCAAAAAGGTTAAAGATCATTGGTTTAGAGGTTATTTCCGCTTTGAGACCAGAACATTAACTATATTTGATCAGTGTTAGGCATTTTACAGATTGTTAAAAATAAACTGTTAAAATAATTAGTTAAAACGTGCTAAAATAATTTGCTAAAAATATTACAAATAATTCGCTTAAATAATTCAATAAAATAATCAGTTAAAATAATTAGTTTTAAAAATTTGTTTTAGTAATATATTAGATAATTTGACAAAAAATAGTTCTTTATAATATTTTGCTAAACCTTTAACACCACAACTTTAAAATTAAGCTTTAGAACTATAGAAATAGTTTAAGAAACAAAATATATACATTTAACCTCCCTAACTTTTTAAGTTAAAATAAAAAATCTAAAAAAATAATTCCAGGTAGATATTTGAAAAACAAAGGTACAAAGGCTAATCATATCAAACTTTAAACATTGTCAAAAATTTTATTCTATACACATTCTTTGATCAAGAAATATTATTTCTTTGATTTGGCGAACAACATCTTAAAATGTGTTACGTTGCTTTGACGGTGCAGTCATCAAAGAGATGGATTGGAATTTTTTTTTTTAATCTGAAGGATTTTCTCGCTTTGAGCACTGAGATTATTTATAAAAAGAAAACTTTAAAACGCGCACTCGTAAGAAAACACAAACATTTGACAAAAAGAAACAAAATACGATCACCCCAACTTATCTAAAATGAATTTTTTTTTAAATATAGTTTTTTTTTCAGAAAAAAATAAAAAACCTAAACAAGAAATAAAATCCAATTTCACACAATTTTTTTTTTTATTATTTAGTGGGTTTTTTTTATAACTAAACAAAAATTTAAATAAAGGTAGATAACAGAACCCTACCTGTAGGCTAGTTTATGCTCACTGTGGTTAGGTAATAGATAATATTCTTTGCTAGGCATTCCGAAGTTTCCCTGATCAAGCTGAAAAAATTCAAACAAAAGATTCATGCTCTAAACCACTAGTTGATGTACAAATATATATTGGCTTCTTAGTTCTTATTTCTAGTGGTAGAAGGGATTTCCTCCAGCACAATTACGTTTCAAGTTTCATCTAGTTATGCACCATATAGACCGTTGGCTCAGATTTCAGCCTGCTTTTCTACCTGGATTTGCTTCCATAGTCTTTGACACTTTGTTTAACCAAGGCAGCATATTTTTTTTATTTTAGAGAGTTCTCTCCTAGATGAGTTGCTGCCCCTAGCTAATGTGTCTTGTCTGTTCGGGGTCTGAACTCGGGACTATTGAAGTATACTTTGAGTAATTTAAGTGTAATCACATATATATGACCAATCTATCTTATACTATCTATACTTGACCAATCTATCTTATACACCAACCTGTTTTATATTGACCTATAAACCAACCTGTATTATATTGACCTATATAGCAACGTGTATTATATTGAACTATATACCAACCTGTATTATATTGAACTATATACCAACCTGTATTATATTGACCTATATAGCAACGTGTATTATATTGAACTATATACCCACCTGTATTATATTGACCTATATACCAACCTGTATTATATTGAACTATATACCAACCTGTATTATATTGACCTATACACCAACCTGTATTATATTGACCTATATAGCAATGTGTATTATATTGACCTATATACCCACCTGTATTTTATTGACCTATATACCAACATGTATTATATTGACCTATATACCAACCTGTATTATATTGACCTATATACCAACCTGTATTATATTGACCTATATACCAACATGTATTATATTGACCTATATACCAACCTGTATTATATTGACCTATATACCAACCTGTATTGTATTGACCTATATACCAACATGTATTATATTGACCTATATACCAACATGTATTATATTGACCTATATACCAACCTGTATTATATTGATCTATATACCAACCTGTAATATGTTGACCTATATACCAACCTGTATTATATTGACCTATATACCAACCTGTATTATATTGACCTATATACCAACCTGTATTATATTGACCAATATACCAACCTGTATTATATTGACCTATATACCAACCTATCTTATATTGACCTATATACCTACCTGTATTATATTGACCTATATACCCACCTGTATTATATTGACCTATATACCCACCTGTATTATATTGACCTATATACCAACCTGTATTATATTGACCTATATACCAACCTGTATTATATTGACCTATATACCAACCTGTATTATATTGACCGACGAGTTCTTGTCATCTGCCCCTACGGCACTCAACAAAAAGGCCGCCATACTTCCGGTATCCATCAGTCGGACTTTGGCCAACGTTCTGGCCAGGTTGAAACCCTCGCTTGACCAGCGGTCATCCAGAATCGGCCAGCCACCAAGTTCGTTAATTAGGTCGTCCACAATTTTCCTGCCGTCCACTGCGCTAATTGCTGAATAACAGATTTAAAGTTTTTAAAAGTTAAGTTCAGAAAATATAAACAGAAACAAATTTGAGTAAGTAAATACCCTTTCAAGGTCCATTGGGTAGGTGGAGTAGAGTTCACCTGTTTCAGTGACCTGGGCATATGAAGGGATAGCGTGGTCAGCACTATGCCCAGCCGCCTTTACTTTCCCTAACGTGAGTTAGGTACCCATCAAAGTTCAGTGGACTCAGGGACATCGTACACTATCAAACCCGGGATCCGAACTCAAGATATTCGGGTCAGAAGTCAAATGCTCTATTGTTCGACCACACCATTCTGGTTAACGGGACAGAACAAAAGTTTTAAGAATAATTTTTTTATAGACCTTGAGCAGAACGAGGGAAAAAAACGATTTCTGAATTTAAAAAGTATTTTGGGTAAATCGAAAAAAATTAAACACAAAAGCTGGACAAGAATAAGTGAAACAAACTTTAAAAATAAATATCTATTAAAAAAAATTAATTCATTTTTATCATATTTAAAAATTAGCAGAAAAAACTGTCAACATAAGGATATGCAAAAGGAAACCAACACAAAGATGAAATACTGACCTACTAGCTAGCCAAAACAAAGATGACCTACAGGCTATAAGCTAACCAATACCAAGATGACCTACTGACCTACTAACTACTAGCTAACGAAGACAAAGATGACCTAATGACCTACTGGCTACTAGCTAGCGAAGACAAAGATGACCTACTGCCTACAAGCTAGCCAACACAAAGATGACCTACCCTACTAGCTACAAGCTAACCAATACAAAGATGACCTACGGACTTACTGAAGTTGATGCAGGACCTATAGAAGAGTTTAGCCTTCATCGTGGCGTCGCTGTCCTCGGGTCTCTTATGGTCCTCTAGCAGAGCTGAAACAAATCAAATAAATAAAGAGCAATATTTTTTTTACATATATGAGGTAGAACAAAATCTGTTTCACCCTCCTAGATAGAGGGGAGAGGGGGATAGAAAGAAGAGATATGTGGGGTGGGGGGAGCTGTCTTTGCTGGGGGAAAACACATACAAACACTCAACTACCGATTTGAACCTTTAACCCAAATAAAAACTGACTTGCTAATTCACGCAAATGTTTTCTCATGGATTTATTCAAACACTACCCGAAACATTTATACCATAAGCATGCTTTTGAACCAGACGGTGGTGCAGGTGAAGTAGCGCGCACCTGTTTCTATGGCCTCGGCTTGTGAAAAGACAGTGTGGCCAGCATCTATGCCGAGCATCTTTTACTTTCTCTAAGATAAATCAGGCGCTAATCAGAGCTTAGAGGTGTTATATGGACAAGAACCAGGGATTCGAACTCGAGACTCTTGGGTTAGCAGTCGTATGCTCTACTAACCGATCACGCCGTTCAAAAACTTATACAAACAATGCCACAAAAAAAAAACAACAACTGGACGTCTCACGTCTCACATATAAATATCCATGTATATGTATTTATACACACACACACACACACACACATATATATATATATATATATATATATATATATATATATATATATATATATATATATATATATATATATATGTGAGTATATTATATATATATATGAGTATATTATATATATATGAGTATATTATATATATATGAGTATATTATATATATTATATATATATAGGCCTATACATCAGGTATATTCCCACACGTTTTAATAGCCTTCAACTTTAAATTAAGCGACCACGCCCTCCCCGACCCCCACCAGAACAAAGACATCGGACGGCTCGTGTTAACGAGAGCGCAGGTGGGCGGGGTCTAAGTAGTGATAGGCTCATTTATAACAGTGATGAATTATCTCGCACTGTATCATCAATAAATGCTTAATCAAGGGAGGTAATTAAATGAAAGGTTCTTAAATGAATATAAAACAAAGTACATTTTGTAAAAAGTATAAATTGATGTTCATTTTCCTTCAAAAAGTTTTTTAATTTAAACCAAACAGATATTAATTTGTTCATTAATATTGTTTGAGGTTAACAATTTTCAAAGTTATAAATTAAAATTATGATAAGTGTTGACTTTCATAACTGTTAGATTATTTCATTAATATTTTAAAACTCAAATACGACTGGTAGCTTGATGTTTTACTAGCAGTAAACTTCTCCGTTACTTTTGATTTTGTTAACGAGGATCTAAATTTATTTTGTCAAATTAGCTGGTTGTTAAAAGAAATAAACGCATGCCTGAAAGTGGAATTTACAAATATAATATAGAGATCTATTAAAAAATCAGTTGTATAAAGTTAAAAAATGCAGAAATTGTAAAAAAAAATTAATAAATTTGAGAATACCTTTAAGTTACTTAATACATTTCTATAGTAAACTTTACAATATTTTAATTATTTTTTGCATTAAATATATATACCGTGTCATTACTTTTTAAAAGAATTGCGTCTGTTACTGCTAACATTAATACTATTAAAAATATTACTTTACTGTGCATGTGCACACATTTTTGGCACTAAATAGACCACCAAATACACCATCACTTACAATACACTGCTAAGATACCACCACATATAACACAGCACTAAACACACCACTTTCAACAAACTTCTAAACACAACACCAAACACACAATCAAACACAACATCTAACACACCACCTAACACACCACCAAACACACCACTTTTAAAAAACTACTAAACACAAAACCAAACAGAACACCAAACACACCACCAAACTCATCACCAATTTCAACACACCACAAAAGACCACCACTTTCTACAAGTCACCAACACACTACCAACACACAACTAACACACTACCACATTCAACTCACCACCTCTATCAACACACCAACAACATTTCACCACTATCAACACACCACCAACACACCAACAATACACCACCACATCCACCAGACTACCACCTACCCCTCATGATAATCAGTAGCTCGTCATACAACTTCTCGAAAGTTCCAAACGTCGCCTTGTCCTCGGGAATGACGTATTTCTTATTCCACATCCCGCAGGCATACTGGTAAAAGTCCTCACACGGCTGGGCAGTGAAGTCCATCCCGGACATAATCTGGGCAGCTGGGGGCAGATGGGCACTTGCGTTAAGTGAGGGCATAAATGACGTCAAAATTGTAAGGGAGAGGGTGTATGATATTTTCTACACGATGTTCACATAATGTGTAGTTACTTCTGTTATGGTTGGATAATGAGCGAGGCATATTGCAAAACTTCTTCTCCTTCTTCTTCGTTCTTAATTTTAGTGTTGGAAGGTATCCGCCTCCAACACAATTAAGGATACGTGTCAACTGGAGGCAGAGGCGTAGCGACTCTTCCTGGCGCCCGGGGCCAACCTTTCGATTTGCACCCCCCTTAAACTTTCGATTACATTTTCCAACTCATTTTGGCGCCCCCTAAGATCGGCGCCCGGGGACATATGTCCCCCCTGCTCCCCCCATCTATTTTGCTCTACTTTACGTGTGTTAGGTACTCATTAGAGCTGGGTGGATTCAGAGACTCAGAGACGTCCTTTCGACACTCAAGTCCCGGATTCGAACTCGTGACTTTCAATCACGCCCGTCTCAAACAAAAAAAATAAAAACTTGCAAAATATTCGCTATTACAACAATGATTTGAATCACTTGATTCGTTTGTTTCAAGGGAGGGGGGCATGCTAGTCTAGAAAATTGTGACGGTTGTCAATGGTTACTGTACCTGTAGTGACACACTCCTTTGTCATACACACGTTACTTGTTGAGTTTCCTGAAGAAATAGAATCGAAAAAATTGTTTACAGTAATGTTTGTTTTAAATTGTAATTTTGCTGGATGCAAAATGTGTTAAGATACCTGCAACCAGTGGGGGAGGGGCTGTTGGGGGGAGGAACCACCCACCACAGGTGCGAGTATTTGCAAATATATATATATATATATATATATATATATATATATATATATATATATATATATATATATATATATATATATATATATAATTGATTGTGTGTGACTGTGAGAGAAAGAGAGAGAGAGTGTCTAAAAACGGAGTCCCATCATCAGTAATACCATTTTTTACGATGACGTAAGTTTGGCTAATCAATACGACACACGTCGTGAACTCTCCTTCACCTAGCCATAAATAAAGATCAAACACATCGTGGTGTAGATAATGATATAACAGCGAGAGTCACAACTCCGCAGATATCCCATGGAGCCAATATCTTAGCTGTTCCATCAACTGAACCTCCCTAACTAAAGTTACGACAACAAAGACAATCCATGGTATAAAAGAAGCCTCAGTAAAATGTGGTGAGGGGGGGGGGGAGTGTTGGGACTTACGTCTAAGCATTTCCATCAAATGAACATACCTAGCGAAACCCACCACAACGAAGACGACCCATGATACAAAACAAGCCTCAGTAAATGGTGGGAGGGTGGCACTTACATCTAAGCTGTTCCATCAAATGAACGTCCCAATGAAACCCACCACAAAGAAGACAACCCATGATACAAAAGAAGCCTCAGTAAAAGATGGGAGGGTGGCACTTACGTCTAAGCTGTTCCATCAAATGAACGTAGAAGGCGACGGGGGGGGGGGGGCTGTTGGAACTTACGTCTAAGCTGTTCCATTAAATGATGAACGTAGAAGGTGACGGGGGGGGGGGGAACTGTTGGCACTTACGTCTAAGCTGTTCCATCAAATGATGAACGTAGAAGGTGACGGGGGGGGGGGGGGGGAACTGTTGGCACTTACGTCTAAGCTGTTCCATCAAATGATGAACGTAGAAGGTGACGGGGGGGGGGGGAACTGTTGGCACTTACGTCTAAGCTGTTCCATCAAATGAACGTCCCTGGCAAAAGCCACGACGACGAAGACGACACAGAGGACGAACAAGAAGCCACTGAGGAGCAGAAGATACAATTCTTTTCTCGACCAGCGCCGTAGACAATTTCTCTTGGACTTTTGGTTCTCATTTTTTGGGAAAAACATCACCTGCAAACAGAGATGTTAAAAACATCATTTGAAAACATAGATTTAAAAAACAACCCCTGAAAAAAGAGATTTAAAAACATTACCTTAAACTTTAAAAGAAAAAAAACATCACCTAAAAAGTGAATTTAAAAATATCCCCTAAAAAAGTGGATTATAAATATATCACCTGAAAAAAAACGAAATAAATAATATCACCTGGAAGAGAAAAATAAATAAATAACAAAACCCGAAGACAGAAAATAAAATAAACATCACTTAAAACTTCACCTACAAATAAAAGAAATCAGAAACAGATAAATCAAAAAGATTACCTAATCTTAACCCTAATCATGACAGCATTAGGAGCTATTAAAAATTGCACACCAAATAGTACTTCTCTTTGGTAGAAACTGGCCTACTTTAATACTTTACATCACTGTACATCTATATAGGGGAATATTTACGTTAAAAATCTTCTAGATCTAGATTTAGGAATCTGTTTGATTGACGTGGCTCTACTGACGTATCACAGACCTATTTTAGTGTGTCAGTGTTATGTGGCACATGCCCTGATATCTGATCCACGCAGGTTGGTGTCGCTCATTTGATGGTGTCACACATTTGATGGTGTCACACATTTGATGGTGTCACACAGTTAAAGGCCACACATTCAAGGTCACACATTCAAGCTGTCATTCGTTCAAGGTCACACTTTAAGGTATCACTCATTCAAGGTCACATGCAGATCTTTTCCTCAGGGTCCACCGAGATATTTTCATGGGGGCCCACCGATATATTTTCATGGGGGCCCACCGAGATATTTTCATGGGGGCGCACCGAGATATTTTCCTGGGGTCCCACCGAGATATTTTCATTGGGGCCCACCGATATATTTTCATGGGGGCCCACCGAGATATTTTCATGGGGGCCCACCGAGGTATTTACCTGAGGGCCCACCGAGATATTTCCTGAGAGGCCCACCGAGATATTTTCATTGGGGCCCACCGAGATATTTTCATGGGGGCCCACCGAGGTATTTACCTGAGGGCCCACCGAGATATTTCCTGAGAGGCCCACCGAGATATTTTCATTGGGGCCCACCGAGATATTTTCATTGGGGCCCACCGAGATATTTTCATTGGGGCCCACCGAGATATTTTCATGGGGGCCCACCGAGATATTTTCATTGGGGCCCACCGAGATATTTTCATTGGGGCCCACCGAGATATTTTCATTGGGGCCCACCGAGATATTTTCATTGGGGCCCACCGAGATATTTTCATTGGGGCCCACCGAGATATTTTCATGGGGGCCCACCGAGATATTTTCATTGGGGCCCACCGAGATATTTTCCTGGGGGGCCCACCGAGATATTTTTCTGGGGGCCCATTGAGATATTTCCTGAGAGAACCACTGAGATATTTTTTTATTGGGGCCCACCGAGATATTTTCTTGGGGGCCCACCGACATATCTTCCAGGAGCCAACCTAACCCAACACACCAAACAAACAAAAAATAGTCAAACCATTATTCAACACAAATCAAGCAACTTAAATAGCCTACTCTCCGCTTAAGTGGAATCCCCTGGGAAAGCGGAAGAGAGGGCAGTCCTGGAGGCGGAGTCTTCTTGAAGAACTAAAACCAACAGGGATGTCTTATAAGACAGCAAAATTAATAGCCGGAGATCGGATTAAATGGAAGGAAATGGTGGAGCCCCTATGTTCCTTAAGGAGCGAAAAGGACTAAGTCAAGTAATAATCTCCCCTGTTAAATATAATACTACATTTATTCAGATCTATAAATAGCACAATTGAATTCCCGAAATGGTACAAACTCAATTCCACCATTCAAGAATTCTACCCGAGCGTACTGTTCAATGAAAGCTACATAAAGCCCGTCAAGCTATGAAAGGGTGGCGCTTTAAACATGTTTAAATATTTTTTACGCTGCTCTTCGCTGTACGATCTCATAAAAATACGTCAATAAACGATGATTACCTTTTTTATTGTCACCCCCCCCCCCCTCTCAATTTTAAGGGCGTCGCCGGCTCAAGTAATGCCCATTTGCACAGACTAAAGCAAGATTTCTCACATCTTTGCTGCACCACCAGTGGATATCCACAAGGTTGGTTTTTCACCTTATCCGCCGATGCGCAGCACCACCATGTTATTAATGTGGGGGGGGGGGGGGTGTAACCGTTCTCATACCTGGGTACCGAACTTTTAACTTAGGGGGTGAGGCGCTAGACTACGTTATCCCTTAATACAGCCATTATCAGCAATTAAAAAATTTAAACCGTTAGACTATGCCAGCCACCTGTGCTATGCAATGAGAGTTGTTTATTTTCGACACTGACAACCTTGAGGTTCAATCATCGCCTCCAATAGCACCAACATTCTATCGACTACTACAATACTAATATATTTTCATGTAAAGTAACTACTTATGTAGTGGATACTATTACATATGTAGTAGATAATACTACATATGTAGTAGTATCTACTACATATGTAGTAGATACTACTACATATGTAGTAGATAATACTACATATGTGGTAGTTACTACTACGCACCATAGATACAACAACATCCGCTACTCCGCATTCCGTCCTCGGCGATTACAAAACACTAACAACTACCGCAATGATTACAACAACTAAAGTGACACCTACAAGAACAAAAAACAACAGCCAACTACCACATATATATTTACAACGACAGTAGTTATATCTACACGAACGCCAACAACAAAACAACAGCATCCACTACCAAAGCTACATCTACAAAAACTGCTGTAACGCCTATACCAGCAACAACAACAACAAAACAACAGCATCAACTACCACAGCAACACTTACACAAACAGCAGTTATACCTACTACACCACCGTCGACAACAACAACAAAAAAAACAACATCAACAATTACAGCTACACCTACACAGCCTGCAGTTACACCAATACCTCCACCACCACCACCACCACCACAGACAACAACAACAACAACAACGACAAAACAACAACAAATGCTACCCTACAACGTTTGCAGACACATATACAATGACAATAACAAAAAAAAACAATAACAACTACTACAATCATGCTAACAACACCTCACATCAACTGCATCAACATCAACATCAACACCCACAACAGAAACAACAACAGCAACATCTACCACACAAACAACGATTTCAAATAAACCTACAACAGCTACAACTATCTCAACTACGCTTACAACAATTAACACCACTGCATCAACGCCCGCAACAATAAAAACCAACAACAAACAACAGCAACACCTGTCCACCTACGCATACAACAACTTCTTCAACCAACAAAATTTTCATTCATTGCACACATTCCTACACTCGTCCAAAACGAAATCAATGCGATTCAAACGAATGCCTCGCCTATTAAAAGATTTAAAATCCTACTCGATATTATGTCAAAGTTCAGGTATACGATTCAAAGCAAATATCTAGCCTATAAAAAGATTTAAAATCCTACTCGATATTATGTCAAAGTTCAGGTATGGGACCGCTAAACAGCAGGTGGAATCCATTTCTCTAAACAGACGTCTGCGTCTGATTTAAATGGCACTCTATCTGCTGGTGAAACAGGTCTTCGGACACGTGACCTTAATGAGAATTTAATGCCAGATTATAAATAAATGCTTGGAGCAATTTTTTAAACTCGTATCTGGTTTACAAATATGCATGGAATTCAAAACGTTAAAAATAACAGCACTGCGAACATAGTTGTTCCGTTTTTAAAGTTCTGAATTTGTATCAACTGTTTCGGTTTTTTTGTTTATATATTGTCAAATCAGTTTCTTTTTTGTATCAATGTCTAGGTAGATTTAAATATTTCTAGTGGCATGATTAAAAATTAAATAACTATGTTAGCTAGATTTAATGCTTTTTTTTTGTAGTCACTGTTATTTTTTTGTTTTTAAATTAAACGTGTGGTTCAGCAATTTCTATCGACAGTATTTGGATTGCGAGGGGGACGAGCAGGCAGCATTGTGCCCAAATTTTGATGAGCAGCATAATGATGTACTCTAGGCAAAACAAAGAGGAGATTCATTGTTCTGTCATTGTCACTAAAGACCTAATTATTTTCAGATTTTAGGCGAATAAAAGAATTTACAGATGATGTCCCTAAATAGCTTCCACACAGCGGCCCAGCGTAATGTTCATTAAATTAATATCCTCATTAAAACTTTATCTGGCCCTATTTACTTTTCATTTTAAAACTAAAAAAGCATTAATAAATAAAAGTTTCATATTTTGTAAATGTACATGCAAGAATTTAAGAACAGCTGATTGTACCAAAACATCGTTCATCACTTGATCTGAAGGAATAATTTTATAGCACGGTCTTAATCTTGAAGAGAGAAGACGCTGCCAGCATTACAAGAGTATGATTATTGTTGTTAATGGTATCATTGACTGGCCGGTGGGGGGGGGGGGGGCGGGGCGGGGAGAAGGGGGTAGGGGTTCTTGTTAGTGCCAGAGAATGGGATAGTGGGGCGGGCAACCAGAAATTTGAGGGTGGGTAATGAATACGTATCCAGTTAATCGGCGGAAACTTCTAGAAGCGGGAGGTTCTTCAAATCAAAGTAGATCATGACACACACACGTGAACACACACACACACACACACACATATATACATATATATATATATATATATATATATATATATATATATATATATATATATATATATATATATATATATATATATATATATATATATATATATATATAAATTTAGGCTATCAAAGAGAGGATATCAGTAAGTGTAAATAGGTCAATCAATCGTCCTTTAACCATTATGGGGGTTGTTGGGCACCGACCGCAGTTGATAATACACTTTCCACACAACAATAACGTTCACCAGCATTCAATACAATATAGCTTGTGAGATCATTTTTATTCAGCAATTGTCAATGTTTCTTTTCGACTTTTTTTTTCTATGGGGTGAGGGGGGGGGGAAGACTTGAATCTAAACTTTCGCGGGAGGGGGAGGGAGGTTTTAGAGAGCTCAAGGTTATAGAACAAAATTCCAATTTGCATTTTTACAGATATTTTATTTCCAATTAAATCCTGCAACTCATTTTTAATGCAGCGATTTATTTCAAATCTTAAAAAAAAAACAAAAAAAAAAACGTGATAGCGAAATGTATTAAAAATATTCGAATCAGAGCAAAACTTTTATTTAGCTACAAACATTGGAGATAGCTTGATCTAATAGTAGACCTCTCTTTTGCTAGCCTGAAAGTACAGTGCCGAGCTCGAGACTTTCCGGTTACTTGTACGCTCTACCACCCGACCACACTGTCACATGAGCAGCCACTTGACCGCATAGAAAAGAGACAGAGAGAATAAGAGAAAGTAGAGAAAGAAAATGTTTACACTCATTTTCTTCTTTCCAATACACTAAAAATCATCCTACTCTTGAAATCCTACTAACAAACTTATAATCTCCAAACAAATAATTTAATCATCACTCGTGGCTTTAAATAAATATCACGTGACCAGTACTCACCTCCGCGGGGTCAGATGGCGTTTCCGGTTCATCCAAGCTTGACGCCGTCGTCGTGTTGGTAGCCGTCGAGCCCTTGTGCGAGGGCGCCATTTTGTTTTTCGCACCGTGGTGAGCTCCGCCGTTCATGATGAAGGTATCCGTCTGGTGTTGTCGTGGTAGGTACTTGGCCAGGACGTTCCCTGGCATGTTTTACCCGCCGGCTTGCCAGGTAGGATTTATCTGGCCAAACCAAGCCGCGTCAACCAAATTTAAATTTATTTATTTTTTTATTTTTTTTTAAATCGTCCCACGCAAAATCAATGAATAAAAAAATAAATTCCTGAACTATATAAAATGTAAATTAGTTAAGACGCGTCTTGAATAGAAGCTACGCGCTTTACAAACTTGTAAAAAAAAATCTGGAACTATTTGTAAAAAAAAAACAGATTCAGCGATGGCCCGTGTGTGTACACCTCACGTCTGCGACAGTCGTCTGATTTAATGGCACGGCATACCTGGTCATGACGCCGTTACGGTGCCAAGCTATTCCGCTGGTTGTGTGTGTGTGTGTGTGTTTGTCACACGGAATTCACATTCAAGCGAGATTTATAAACAGCTGGATAATCCGCAGGGGAGATAATCCAAAAAAGGGCAGTAAATCCGAAATAAAGGAATAATTTCACAGTGGAGGTAATCCAAGCTTCACGTAATTTTAAAGGGGAGATAATCCAGTACGTGTTGGTACAGATCTTTACCCTGTGTGAAAAAAACAAAATAAAAATAAATTATTATTTACATTTTTAAATTTAGTAGCTTTTTTTTTCACGCGGTCTGCAACTTATATTTGAAAATTTAAAATGGTGTGATAGGCTAATTCAGTTGTCAAATATTTTCAAAATATTTTCGAAATATTTCCAAAATATTTTCTAAATAGTTATTTCAAATTAAATCAATATCATCTTCAACATTTAGCATTGCTTAAAACGGTTTAAAAAAGAACTACACTACGTAATCATAGTATCTCATACAAATGTCTTTGCAAAACAATCTAGCCCCATCAACATGTCTTTACATAAATTGTCTGCCACATACACATACAATGGATGGTAGAGCTCACGGCTGCTAACCCGAGATTCTCGAGTTCGGATCCCGGGCTCAAATCTACACAACGTCCCCGAGTCCACCCAGCTCTAATGAGTACCTGGCTTATGTTAGGGAAGCCAAAATAGCCGAGGGGATCAATAAAACAGATAAACTCTACTTCATCTAGATGAGTATGAGTCCATATACACGTTGACTATTCGTGTACCATGAGACCACACTATCCCTTCATACGCCGAGGTCCCTGAATCAGATGAACTCTGCTTCATCTGCCCTATGTGCCTTGGGCACGAACTGAAAGTTTATCATTCAAGCACGCAAGTGTACCCTTCTCCTTTTGTGTCACACTACATAAAAACGTATTCAATGATTGCATACAGGTGTGTGTGTGTGTACGCAAATATCCATGTGTGTATTTTAAATTAATTAATAAATAATATTTGGAAGCGTTTCGAGTGTGTATATGTGTTTGTATGCTTGCATGTGTGTGTTCAAGTGCGTGTGTGTGTGTATGCTTGTGTGTGTATGTGGTTGTTGTTAACAATATAGCTGTCAAAACAATCGATATATCAAAATATGGCAGGCATTTAATTAAGACGAGAAAAAATGTACAAAGGAAAAGCGTTTAATTTTTTGTTTTTTTTTTATATTTTAAACTATGATGGGCTATTTTTTCAAAGTCTTGTACAGAAATATATTACCAAATTATAAAATACCTTGTTATAATCAATTGAAAAATTAAAAAAAAAAAAACATTTTTCACTGTTTTTAGCAGCTCAATTTTTAAGATTGTATTTTAAATTTTTAAATATAGTTTTTAAAAATTGAACAAACACAAAATCTTGAAACAAATTGAGAACCGTTGATTTCCTTTTGAAATGACAGTTTGATATGTCCTTTTATTCAGCCTAGAACCCAGCAGTGGCAGTGGTATTGAACAAACTCGTTTTCTTCGCATCGATTACCGCCCAATATACTCTAAGTCTTGTTCTAGAATATCGTCGAATCATCGATTACAATAGTACTTGTACTTGAAGAGATATATCCGAACGTTGCAGACACACGCTTTGTCAATATTGTTGTTTCAGTAACAAGACCTGCTCTCAACACGTTAGCTTATAATTATATCCATTCAAAGGAAGCTTCAATTTGTCTGTTTTGTAGTCCATGCGTATGTGTGTGTCACTTTGTGTTCGATGTGTGTATGTGTGTATATATATGTATTTGTTTGTGTATATGTTTCATTATCTATGTGTCTATGTGTGTGTGTATATATGTGTGAATGTGTGTGTATGTTTCATCGTCGATGTGTATGTGTCTATGCGTGTGTGTGTGTCTGTTGTGTATTGTGTGTTTGGTTTGTGTGTTTCATCGTCCATGTGTATGTGTGTCTATGTGTGTTAGAGTGTCAGCTGTGTATTGTGTGTGTGATTGTGCGTGTGTTTTATTCATCACCGATGTGTTTGTGTGATTATGCGTGTGTGTCTGTTGTGTGTGTGGTGTGTGGGTGTATGTGTGTCTTTGTGTTTGGTGTATTTGTGTGTATGTGTGTATGTGTGTCTATGTGTGTATGCCACTTAAGGCAAATAATAGTTCAATGTGTGTGTATCTATGTGTGTGTATGTGTATGTGTGTGTCTATGTGTGAGTGTGTCTATATGTGTGTGTGTGCCACTCATGCGGTGTAAACAATAGTCCAACGTTGTGTTTCAGTGGCCAGTGGTCAGTTGTCACTTTTCGGGGTCAGAGGTCACGCCCCTCTCGTGTATAGTCTACACAAGTGAACGATAAACTACGCTGTATTTTGTAGCACTAATTTGATTAGATACAGGCAGTGTTTCTTTCAGATTTTTTTTCAGGGGAAGAGGGGCACTGGTAAAAGTATATATTTTCTATTTAAAGTATATTTCGTTAGATGACGGTATACCCACCCCCCCCCCCCCCCCCCCCCCACCCTCAAGAAACGCCTGGAAGAAACTCTGGATATACGGTAGGACAAGCGACGTAAAAAAAAAGAAACATCTACAAGTTGAAATACGAACCCAATATTTCAGATTCTAAAGAGATACAAGGTCAGAGTTTTTCTTCTACTTTATATAAATATGCATTATAGTTATAGAAATCACGGCAAACGTGGATTTTGGTATGTTAATGTGATGTTGTTAAGCCGTGCTACATAATTTTCAATGTGTAGCCTACTGTAGACTAAACCAAAAAAAAAATTTTTTTTACCAGTTTCATTGAAGGTAGAGAAAGAATCCTATTATTCAAGCCTGTTGAAATATTGCTTCTAAGAACTTGCACGCGGAAAAAAATTGCCATTGCAAGATTCAAACTTCGACCTCCCCCCCCCCCCCCATTTTAAACCTACAAACATCACCCCCTAAAAAACATCAGCCTCCTTCAATCACCCCCTCCCCCTGATTGATCCCAATCCAACACAATCCAACACAATCCAACACAATCCAACACAATCCAACACAATCCAACACAATCCAACACAATCCAACACAATCCTACACAATCCAACACAATCCAACACAATCCAACACAATCCAACACAATCCAACACAATCCAACACAATCCAACACAATCCAACACAATCCAACACAATCCAACACAATCCAACACAATCCAACACAATCCCACTAAACCTGCCCGAAACCCCAGCGCTAAATTTATCTCCACGGCCACACTTCTAAGACATCTCAACTCCAAATCTCGTCTAACACCGTGGCGCCCCACGAGATTTGGGGCCCGCTTGTAATTTAACATTAATATTCCACACTCTAGTTCGCAAGGTCCCCAGCTGGACCCAGGTGTCGCGAGAACTGAGCGCACTCACGTTTGGGAGATACACAACAGCACCGAGATCTCGCGAGAACTGAGCGGACCCAGGCTTTGAATATCCACAACCCGATCGAGATCTCGCGAGAACTGGGTAGACCCAGGCTTGGGTGATACACAACTGGACCGAAGTCTCGCGAGAACTGGGCCAACTCAGGCTTGGGTGATACACAATCGGACCGAAGTCTCGCGAGAACAGACCGGATACCCCGCGACAAATTTCCAAACTTTTTTTATCCTATCTTGGTCAATATTTTTCTCGTCGTTTTTCCGGTGCCGAATTTTATCTGATTTTCCCGCTCTTATATAAAAACAAAAGTTTAAACAAAAGATGATATAGGGAGAAAAGAATTGACTGGATCGCAAGATATTTTCTTCATTCCATCTTGAATGAAACATGAGTTGTAAGCTATAACTTGACCTAGTAAATTGTGACTGGATTAGTCAATGTAAAGTGACTTATATGGACATGTATAACTTGAGCTAGTATTTTGTGACTGGGTCAGTCAATGTAAAGTGACTTATATGGACATATATAACTTGAGCTAGTATTTATGTGACAGACTTATTGCGCCTAAATAGGCTTCCGTGGGTACTCACGAGTTTATCTGTTGATAACATGGGTAAGAGAAATAAAAATTGAGCAAAGTTCCCTTTTTGAAACTGACGTTTCATGGCGCAAGTGAAGTAGAGTTCACCTGTTTCTTGAAGTAGAGTTCATCTGTTTCTTTGACCTCGGTAATATGAAGATAGTGGGGTCAATATTATGTCCAGTCGGCTTTTATTTTCCCTACGTTCTAATGATTTGAACTCGGATTCGAATTCTAGTCTTTCACGTTAACAGTCTAGCGCTCTACCTCAAGGCCACCCCTCCCCATAGCTAAGAGAAATACTTGATGCTAAAATTTGTTTAGGTTCGCTAATGAGTATAGAGAAAGCTAGCATTCAAAAACAAGGCATAAAAATAGTCATCTAAGTTTCCCCTTCTCAATGTACAGACAATATTTTACTAAAACACCCCACACGCAAGAATCTCTCTCTTACACACACACACACATACTCCCACACCTTCTCACACTTTAGCTTTATCCCTTCTGTATCTTCCCACACAAAACCCACAGAAACTCACACTTCCCAACCTCCTTTCCCTAACCAAACCCACACAAACTCGCACTTAGCCCCCCCCCCCCCCTCTCCCAACCCTCTGTCTCTAACCAGCGAACCCCGACCCTTCCCCCCCCCCCCACACACACACACTACATGGGGAAGCAATAAAGATTCGAAAAAAGCCGATTACTATTGACCAGTTTAAAGACAAAGCCGATTACGTTTAGACCTAAAGGATTGTCCTAAATCGGGTATCGATACTATACCCTAAGGAAACCCACTAACGCTAACCAACACAGACTAAAACATAACCAACACTAAACCCTAACCAAACTTAGGGAATTGAAATACACTCAGTGGTTAAGTTTTGATTAATTAATAAAATCACTAGACAA